AATAATATTTGATTCATGAATGTATCGCTATTATGTCAAAGTGATGATGTGATATGCAATTAAGGCAAATAAAAGCTAAAAGAAACGTACAGTCCAGTGATCCTCTTCTTGACCATTGAGACACTGATGTGAGGAAGATTCTTTGGGATTTTAACCCCTGTTGATCTCTTTTGTCTTTGCCGGTCTCTCCTGTTGCTGCTGCTGCTGCTGCTGCTGTAGCTGCTGCATTCACTGCCAGATGGGCTCTGAGGAGAAGAAAATAGGAGGATCAAGGATGTCAAAGCTGCAGTGCAAAGGGGAGTAGCTACACTGATGGAAGGCTTCAGTCTTCAGAAAAGGAGGCTGTTCTGCTATTTGAGAAATCATACCAGAAAGAGAGAGCAAAACATTTAGGAAAAAAAATAACTTAAGAAAATATGGAAAAAAGAGAAGAGGGCTGCCTCAATCTCTTCCTACCTGTTCTCTTGGCCGTCTCTTGATTCCTTTCCCAATTTGGGTCTCCTCCCAAAGTTCCTGCTCATCAGTCCCTGAGAGACTGCCATCACTTTCTCCTAGATTGCATACAAAATAGTATACTTCACAATCCTAAAAATTTGGGGCAAAACCTCTTCACACCCTATCTCCCTCCCTTGCATACCAAATTTCTCAGCAATCCTCTCCCTGATGCTCTTCAATCGTGGGGCGAACTCGATTCTTCTCTCATGATCATCTGGCTCATCATCATCATCCTCAGCTCTGTCGTCTTCGCTGTCCCTGCTATAGTGATCCGGGGTGCTACCAGCGGAGCTGTGGCCATCTCTACCAAGGGAAATGAACTCTTTCTGGGCTCGGTTAGTGCGACGCTGCCTCCTGGCGGCCTTGATCTCTTCAGCATTAGGGATAACTACTGTAAAGACAAATCAACATACACACAAGAAGAAACACACCGTTTGTTGTAAGAAATAACAGAAGTCTGTAACAACAGAAAGTTGGCTTCTTTACACTGCTGGAAATGGTGCAAAATATGTATCCTATGTGTTTGTCTCACTAGAAGTAATAAAAGGACATTAAATGTATACTGAAAATATAAATAAATTAAAATATTGTTAATATTGTATTTTAAGTGTTGAGCAAGCACAGATATCTATCTCTCTCATATATATATCTATCTCTCTCATATATATACACACACACACACACACAGCTTAAGTCTTATATTACCAATGTAACATCAAACATATTTATTACACACATTGTAAATAGTATACACCCACAGGCACACATACCTGGTTTAGTAACAGAGCGGCTAGAGTCTGATGTTGAGCTAGCTGAGGGTGAAAAAGCACCACCTTTATCACTGTCATTGTCATCATCCTCGCCATCATCGTCATCGTCATCATTGTGGAGCAGAGCATGTGGTGAAGCGTGACTGTCATAATCTTGCTGGGAAGAACAAGATGGTGCTGGCGCTGGGAGAGAGGAGAGGGAGATATGCCAATGCAATGCAGAAAATATGGATTGATAAATAGGTTAGTTGCCAAAACGGACTGCAACTACTTGTATTTTATCAATATATATGATCAGTTTCCAGTTTATTAGTTAAACTGATTGGTGTTCTAATATTTAGTCTGCCCTCATTTATTTAAATGAGGTTGATTTAATGTCAGAAACATCTCTCAGTATAACACAACAATTTCAACAGCACAACAAACTACAACATCCAAGATTAAATTAAAACTGAATCAACACCTCTCTAAAACAGTTTCAACAAAAAGTGAAAATTATATATCCACCATGAAGATGGGATTTATTGCAGGGCTGTTGTAGTGTTAGCTGTAGTGTAGCTAGGTGTACATAAAACGCTGGAACCTGACATGTATTTAGTGTTTGTATACAGGATATAAGAATACATAAGAATTGTGTGCGTTTATTAGACCTGTAAGTGTGTAAGGGTCATGAGTGTTTCTAACATGATCCAGTGATCCAACCTGTGCTGTGGGTGGTCTTGGCAGGTGAAGCCTCCTTCCTCTTTACTTGGAACAGCACGGCTTTATCGGAGGATTTCTTCAGTTTAAATGTTGGCTCCTCAGCTATGACAGTAAAAAAAAAACAAGAGATCCATGAGGAAAAACTTGCTGTTGAGCCCATATTTAACCCTCACACACTTGCGGTGAACCTGGGACCTTTGGGGCCCCTGTGAGTCTGGGTTCCTGCTGGGAAGTTGACACTACTACTACAAATTACCATTCCTGTTGGAAATTTCAGGCAAATTAATTTCATGCATCCCTTCCCTCTTGAGTTCTTCTACAGCTGTTGTTGGGACTAAACGTCTGACTGGGGTCTATCTTTGAAAATATTGACATTAAAACGCCACATTTACCTTCTTTGTCGTCAGAGAAACTGAGGATGGAGTTTGTTTTCTTCTTAATCCGATCTTTCTCCCTCTCTTCTGTTTCTTCACTCGCTTCCAACGTCTCCCCGTCCTCTCCGTCACTGCTGTCCGGCTTGGGAGGCGTCGCTTCCCGCTTGGAGTTGCAAGAGATGCCGCGGCCCTGGGTCAGTTTGGACGGTTTGTTTACCACAGCTGGAGCTTTCTCGTTTCCCTCTCCATCTCCGCTGTTCTTCTGCTCGTCCTCCTCGTCGCTGGAGTTCTCCTTTCTCCGTCGAAAGTTCCTCCGGGGCTTTTTATTGAACATTTCAGCTCCACTAGCACGGAGCTAGCTAGAAACCGGGTTGTAAACCGTAGTGCCTCACGTCAAAGTCGCCAAATGTAACGTAAAGCAGCCGCAATGCACCATGGGCTATGTAGTGAACATATAGTGACTACCCCCGTAAGCTAACCAAACTGTCAAAAAATAATTAGGCAACTTTAATATTACACTCTTAAGATTTTTAAACGGTATTATCAGTCAAATCATCTTAACACGTGGAATTAAACTGTGATGTAGGACCTACAATGTATCAGTTAGTCAATCCTTAGAGGTGTTATGCCGAGTTTTGCCTGCCTGCCGAGAATTGCATGCACCTCCAAATACTGCTTTTAAACGCTAATAACATTCTTTGTGGGGTCCATCAATGGTGTCAAATGATTCGAAGTATATATTTTATGAACGTCTAGAGTCTTTAATATTTTAATACACTTAGTAGAAGTACCATTACTTGACATTCACTAAATATATGTGGGGATAACGCCGTTTGATCAATGAGCACAGCAAAGTGTCTGAAGAGGACCTAAAGAGGTGGATGCATAATTCGGCAGATCAAATTTTGTAGGCTACCTGCCGAGATTTGCATCCACCTCTTTTCGCAGCATAAATGACCGTTATCACCCGCGAGGTGCACGCAGTTCTCGGCAGGCAGGCAGAATTTGGCACAACACCGGGACCACCTGTGGAGACCACCATTCTACTATAGCCTACTCTTCAGGAGAAATTAATAATGTATGACTGTTGGCGGCTCGGGAGATTATTTGTGGTAAAATCACAGACTGTGTAAGGTAAAATGTCAGCCAAAATGAGTGGAGTTGAGAGCTAGCTGTCTCACTTCAGAGCACTGTGTAGGTAACTGAAGTCAATGTAGGACTTATTAAAAGAAAGATTAAAAAGAAACAAAGTGTAGCGCTTATGTAGCCCTCTCTTATCTCTGTCCCATCATTTGTTCTCCCTGTCCATCTGTTCAACTTGCATGTCTCCTTGTCTCTCCTCCCACTCAGCAGACGGTCGGACGTTAACACACCGCCACCGCTCACTCGTCGTCAGCCATGTTGTTGGTGTGACACATCGAACTGTCAGCAACAGGTTCTCTAGGGAGTAACCCTGCTAAACTTTAACATTTGCGCCAATAAATATTACTCTTTTTGGACAATAAACCTCTACAAAGTGTCTGGGAAGGCGTCTAGAAGTGGTGGACGATAACTTCAGGCCTCCCAAGAGCTCGGAAGTTGATGTTTTTTGGTCGTGGAGACAGAGGTACGAAACTGCTTATCTAAGCACGAGTGTAAGTTTGATATTGTTGTGGTAATGTTTCTTTAGATGACTGTTAGGTTTCACATACGTTTTTGGACTATAAATACGTTTGCCTGTTTGTTTGGTCTGTCTTCTTTGATTCAGAAATAGTAAATCTATCTTTTAAGAGGGAGTGCTGCTTCTCTGCTGCTCTCTCCTTTAAGTTAAACAACCAGGGATGGGAGTTAGGTTAGCTAGCTGAGTCTTTTCATTAGAAATGAGGTATATCGATAACTTGACACGGGTTATTCATTGGTACCTCTGTAAGGCCAGCGTCTAGTTAGGCAGATTTGCAGCAAAGATTCCTAAATTCCTCTCGGTTGAAACTAGTTGTGCAGGTTGCGTGCAGGTATCAGACTGGTTTTTGACAAGTGTTCAGGGAGTGTTGCACAGTTTATCTTACAGACATACAGAGGGAGGTTTGGGTGTTATTAAATAACACCTGGGGTCCAGCAGAGAGTCTTTGAAATTGTGGCCTATTTTGGGTTGTCCATAGTGGGTCTCTTGTTCTGAAAATTGTCCATAGTGACATAATCAGAGCCACCAGTAAATTTAAGCGTCACTTCCAACGTCATTGAAAGTTGCAAGCAACCCAGTACAACCCATTATAGGAATCCATAATATTTATTTTTTGCAGGTATTTAATAACTAATAATTTACCCGGTAATTTCTGTTTATACTAATATTTTTAATTTTGTTGCAATACCTCAAGTGGGGTTAGTTAATATCATTTTGAGTCTTAGTGCTGACAACCAAAACTGCAAATGTATTGCCACTAGAGCTGCAAGAATGTATTTATTTACTCCTCTGCCACAGTAAACTGAATCTATTTGGGTTGTGAACAAAAAAGATATTTGAGGACATCACCTTGGCCTTTGGGAAACACTGATCAACATTTTTCATAATATTCTATACCTAACAACTAATTAATTAATTGAGAAAATAATTGACAGATTGATCAATAATGAAAATATCACTTAGTTGCAGCCCTAATTGCCACTTGTCCTTAATAATTTTTTATTAAGTCCACGTCTTCATTTACTGATGGAGAGGAGCACAAATTACTTCATTCATCATTCTGCCTTTTTCCATGCAGCACGTGCCCATCATGATGTTGATGTCCATTCTAATGCAAATTCTATGGTTAAGCAGTCAACACTGATAAGCTCACTGAAATTTTGTACTTGTACAGTGAAGTGTAGAGCCACAGAGCCTCTTCATTATTCTTGTGACCATGGAGCAATCATATCAGAGTATTTCCTTGGAAAATAAATTTGGGTGGAGTGAATGGATGTGCAGTAGTATAAAAGACTCTTTGCTCTTGCCAGCAGGAGCTTTCTTTATCTCTTTGTGATTTTTAATGCTGAACATGGGCTTTCTTTCGTCTGTCAGTCTAGTTCTGACCTCCATGTTTGCAAGCTTGTACTAGGCTGAAGCATCCTCAAGGCGAGACAATTAATGCCTGCAAGCTCTGCAGCTGTTTTGTGGCTGTGGCTCACCTCAGACTGCTCTGTGGAGTGAAAGGTCAGGGTTTCTGTTTACATTAATATTACATTGTTAACATTATCAGTATGGCTATCATAAACTGAAGTGTCAATTTTCTTCATTACTGTCATGCTACTTAAGATCATCATCACTGTTACAAGTGTGGCCATATGACTTGGAGCAGGATTTGCAACATTACATCAACAGAGAGCACTTCTGGACAGGCCCAGTTTTGGGTTGCTAGGAAAATTTCATCAGCAGATGTGAGGTTTAACTGGCCCCCTCCTTAATATCTTCATCATTAAAACTACAGTGAAGATGGTAAAGAGGAAAGACATGCACATAAACAAACAGTACCACTAAAAATAATCTTTTCAGAGTACTTTCTTCAGTCCTGCCATGTCTTCCTGATGATGATGATAATATTGACAAATCAGGGCGGGTCAAAGCAGACTGGAGAAGGGAGCGGCATGCCTTGCCTCTTAAGAAAACATAATCCAGCACTGCAAACAGCATTAATCAAACCCACTGTGAAACACTCCAAAAGGCCTTTTACAGCACTTTCTGACTGTGTGAATGCCACTGATGGATGGGGTGATTATGGCAGAGTGGGTGGATGTGTTGTGCTGAAACACTGCTTTAACAAGGCCATCTGAAGAGATAGCTCTATGGTTGGGAACAAGTCAGAAAGACTGAAAAAACAGTAACAGAGAAGAACGGCGGATGAGGGACAAAGAATCATGGGTAATTTTCCTATACAGAAAGAAACAGACACAGAGAGGAGTTGATGTCATTGGTGTGAGGTCAGCTAGCGAGGCGGCTCAAAGTCAATAATTTTGTAGAACAACAGGCAGCGCTTGATTCAGAACAGAGTAATGATGAGGACAGGTCAGGGTCACACAACAGAGGGACAGACGTAGATGTACAATGACACAATGAGAGAGAGAGAGAGAAAAATGAACATCCAAAAGACAGTCAGGATAAGAGGAAGTGGAGGGATTAAGAGAGGAGAAAAGGTTCTGTGTGGGTCCTCATTGTGTTCTTTATTTCCTTCTGTCAATGTAAAGAGAGTCACATTGCAGCAAGGTGTGGTATGAAAAGTGCACACCAAACAGACAGTGCGTAAGGGACAGATGCACTCAGGGTGATCATGTGAGAGCAAGATATGCACGGTCCAAGGCTCCCACTGAAGCGGGTATGATCAGGGACGGCCGGGCAATGTATCCCAACAGTTTTCTGCATTGTATGTATATACAGAGACGTTTTAAGATACGACCATAAGGACAACAGAGGCAGAAACGTCCCAGTCTTTTAGCAGGGACCAAAGCAGAACTGAAGCGGTTGAGGTCTGACAACATAACCAAGCCATAAATGAAAAGAAAGACTATACGTTGACATTTCACTCCAGCTAGTCATTAATTCAGCGTTGAGTGGTTCACGTTGACCTTGAAAAATAGTCCAATGTAATCAGTCTTTAGTCCAAAGAAAATGTGCAAGCTGAAGAAGTTTGCAAATGTCCAACTCAAGGCCATGCATTTACTAATTAAAAGGAACTGCCCTGTCTTGCTTTGGACCAACTGGCCTTTTTCACAGAAGATAGTTTGACTTGACATAACAGGAAAACCACAAGTGTAATTTATAATATAATAATGGCTGCACTCCATTTAGCTTTACTAGTTTCAGAGCCATGTCACTGTACTGGCTGGCTGGCTGGCGAGGCTTACTTACACTTAAAGGGAAGGGAAGGGAGTCATCATTAACAATATTAATTACACCTGTGCTTTTCCTGCTATGTTCTGTAATGGGCTTGGTTTGTCTTGTTAGACTCCACAGCTGAAAACAGGCTAACTACAGTATGGCTAGCTGTGAGTGTTCCTGTCATGGAAGCCTGTCTAATGTGTACAGTTAAATTATGCTGCTGAGATATAAATTTGAGAATGCACGCAAACTGGGGTAAATGCAATCCTCATAAAAATTTGCTCATCTGCCCATATTGTGACTGGACCAGAGCTGGCAGACAAACATGATGCATCCCAGGCCAAGGCAGCAATGCTGTGCATGGGCATCATCCATTATTAAATCACTTTTTGTGAGGGAAGAAGTGCTAGGTACTGTTACTACTTGTCGCTTGGTTTGCTTAAGCTTGCAGGAAGAGGTTGAGTATGGTGACCTTTTAACTTGCTGGGTGTTTTTTTTTTATTTTATTTTTTTTTTTTTTCTCAACAATGATTGCATTTTTCACCTGGCTGAGATAAGATCACAGTGTGCAGTAATGTGTTTTACCTTGTCCAGATCATCCAGATACAGATAGGGTCTTAATGCCTGATGCAAATGAGGCTTTTCGAATGTCATTACATATTGTGCCAGGCAAGTGATGGAGTCAGGAAAAAGCACACTAGCTGCCAGATAGCTGCCAATAAACACAATGTAATAGATCAATGTTAGGATCTATCAGAGGTCTTTGTGAGGAATGATAAAGAAACACCACACAACCAACAAACAGGTAAAGTATACAGATACAAACACACTCATCACTTAACTGGTTGCAATATAGATGATAAAGAATCAGTGTGCATATGTCAGCGTGTCATTTGTGATATTTCTTCAGCGCTTGGTGATCTAGTGTGATGGACCTCATTGTTGCTGTCTGTTTAACTGTGAACTGCTGTTAGTAAGTAAATACCCTGTATACTTAAATGCTCTGTCACCTCTGCGTGGGAAGAACTGTTTCATAAACGGCAGGTTGGGACCCAGTATGAGTCATGTCTATTTATGTGTTCAACCATGACAAGAGTAATGGGGTTACTGAGTATGTGTTAGCACCGGGATGAGCTTACATATTCTTAGCATTGGTCCAGACCTTGAAAAGTAGGGAAACCCAGTGCTATAAGTCTTGCTCCCAGGCACAGGGTGGGTTCTTGCAGTCACTGAGGCTTGAACACAGGCCTTACAGTTGGCCTGTCTCTGCATTACAAAGATCTAGTGTGTCTAGTTGACTGTGCGCACTGGTGGTGAGCACTGTAACGCTACCAAAACTGTACATCTAGCTTTTACTCATAGCTGCTTACCTGTAACCTAGTGTCTGTTTTCCAACCTTGTGTTTAGCGTTAAGATAATTATTTCGGCATTTCTGCTTAATTTGATAGGTGCTCTACCAGGTGAGCTACCAGGGCATTCCTGTGTGGTTTTAAATAGTTCATGCACCACAGGTAAAATACAATATGAAGTTTGTTTTAGGGTAGGTGTAGCCTACAGAAAGGATTTGCATGGGGGTTTGCAAAACATGACTCTACTACTGAAGTCAGTTGGTCAAGCAGCCGTCCAGTTAGGAAAGGTCAGACTCCTCTGTCACTCTGGCAACCGTAAACCTTAAAGCTGACTGTCCACTGCTATCTTTCATTTATTCATTATAATCACCTATAGTGTTACATTACCAGAGGTGACAGTCCACCACTAGAGCCTGATCAATACTGGGTGGCTGATACCGTTGGCTGATGTCAGGTTAGTGCTCATTTGTTGTGTTGGCATATCAACATGTTGGGCAAACTCAACTATTTACACTACTGTACTATACAACACCTGAGTTTCAGGCATCTTTGAGGATTAACACACTAATTTAAATAAGGTGTAAAATATTTCACTACAAAACCAAATGGATCCTTGTTGAAACTGTGTTTGTATAGATCTGTCTGTCTGTCTGAAAACTGTCTTAGGCTAAAATAACGTGGCTGTCGATTTTCTCCAACTAGTAAAATATTTTATGTATTAACTAAATGTTAACCTGATTTCTTTTGTTTTTTGCTGAATCTGTGTTGGGACCGCTGCAAACAGGATTTCCTACTGAATACATTTTTAATGGGAACACACTCGCACTCCCAATATTTAATAAAGACTGCATATGAAAGACAAGGGCTGAATGAAAGAGTGTGAGGCAATAACTCAAAGCGTGAGGATGTTAAAAGGAGCTGAAGGAAGGAGAGGAGGCCTTGACCCAGGAGGAGTGAGGAAGAGCGACAGATGGCAGGCAGTAGATCAGGCCTCCCTCGCTGTTTTCTGCCCTTGTGAGAGCATTGAACAGGCCACATTCCCAGAAACTATGCATCTCAGTAGACAAGTCTGCGATCAGCGACCCAAAAAATCACTCGTCAGTCTGTAATTTTAGTACTGCTGCAGTTCCACGCCACGCTGTCACTCTGCCAAAATCCATGATCACTTCCTGTCAACTGACGTTGGACGAGGAAATGCTTGTGTCTGTGGGTTACCGGGCAGGAAGTGCTGAGCCGAAAGATTGGAATTTCTCTCCTCCCTTTCCTCCTCCGACTACATCATGCGAGTCTGGCTGATGGGAGAGAGATAGTCATCATTGAGGAAGCAGGTGTTCAGCACGCCAGTAATGAAGTTAAATGAAAACTACAGAATCAATATGATGCATGAAATATAATTAAAAATAAATTCAGCTTTGGATTCAATGTTAGATTGCATATATTCACATCAGTTTGAAAGAAATACTTAAAATGTAGTTCTCATAGTACATGTAGCCCTCTGTTTATCTGTCCTGTCCTGTGATCTCCTGATGCAAAAGTTCACACTGCTCATCCCACGGCAAAAAACTCTCATATCTAAAAAAGGCTTTTTGTTGTGGCTGTATTCCAACAGGCGGACCAGTGCTGCAGTCACAGATGTCACCTATAAATATGCTAGCAAACCCAGCATGATACAAGTTACTGGTCCTTTCAACAAGGAGCCCATATATGGAACAATACAGGATAATAAATAAAAAGTTCTCTAGCTGACTAGCCAGCTGGCTCTGTCCCACAATACCACACAGCTGCACACCACTTTGTGAGAAAACTCTGTTGTAGTAAACTGATCAAAATGTATCAAAGAAACATGTAGACAACTCTTTACCCTTGCACTGAATGTAATCACTTTAAATGTGCAAAACCTAATCTTGCAGAAGATTTCCACACTTGCATTACAGTGTACATGCGTGAGAGCGGTGATAGGAAGTCAAGTTGTGAACCAGTGAGACTGTAGTGTTGCTTCAATCGCAATCTAAACATATTTACAATTAATGAATAAGAACACAAAACACTTCATCAAGATGTTTATTTTTTTAAGGCTTCCCATGGTAGATGAATATTGGTGACAAATAGTCACATGCCCACCACAAAACAAAAATTTAAATTACAATACTGAAGACAAAGCCACCAGTTTCAGATAATGCACAGTGTGACAGGGTTTAACAGAAGATGATCAGTATGTCTCTCCTATCCTAAAAGATGAACATGAATGCAGCATCATTAGAGAAGACGATGTAGTGTGAACTGCACTGACCTCTGGCCACTATAGAGTCAGTGTTGATAGTATTGGAACATGTCCCAGTAGTTTAAAAGCTTTAGGACGTTGCCAGAGTGCTCCTGACTGAAGAGAACTGGAGGAGCCCTGTTTGACTCTGCTGACTGACCGGAATCTCTCTCCCTGCCTTTTTGCTCTCCCTCCTCTTAGTGACACCACTGTGCTGTCTTCACTGCAGTATTGCCTGATGACTGTGCTGTGGCTGTGTGTTTTGCAGATGGCTGCGAGCAGTAGCTGAGGACGCCACCGCCAGTTTCCCCTCCCTGCCTCTGCCCCCTGCAAATATGAATGGTAAGACCACTGCAGATTGTGTGAGTGTGGGTGTGGAGGGGGAAAGACCAGAAGTTCGCGTATTACTGATATTGTGGATACATATATCTGTTTACACAGTCACAGTGTGGGGACTAAAGACTTGGTTTATGGTTAAGGTAAGTCTCCAAGGAATAAATGTAATGTTGTGTAAAGTTAATGTAATGTCCCCAAACGTAATGGAAACAAAACTGTGTGTTGGTTGGTGTATGTGGGTTTGTGTAAGTGCGTAATGATCTACTGAGGCCAACACAGTGCCAGTTATAGTATTAATTGTGTGTGGCGTGCATCTGTCTGAATACACACTGTTTAGTAATGTGTGTCTTACTGTTTCTTAATGTTTGTGTGAGTAGGGTCCTTCTCTGGACCAGCCTATTTTTAGTACTGTTGTTATTGTGCTTTGTAGTTGTTTTGAAGTCGGCTCCATCCAAGTCACAGAAACTGTGTATGTTTTGTTATGACAAAGTCAACATCCCATTTACCTTGTCTGCTTGTGGACTGTGGAGTAAAAGCGGCTGTGTAGTCGGCCATTGTTGGGTAAATACTTGAAAGCGTTCTGCCCTCCTGTCTGATCAAAGTGACACATCACCCGCAACACTGTGCTTCATTATCACTTGGTCAATATCGGTGCATTGTGAACTCCTGACTGCCGCTGAGGCTGGCCTCAGTATTCTCTCTCATCTCATCTGTGTGTCTACCTTCCTGTTTGTTTGCAAGTCATAGAATAGTTTCTAACTCTTTTGTAATCACATAAAGTTTATAATTCTTTGTTTTTGTTCAGATTTAGGTGTTGTCAATGTGTTATTTACACCAGAAATCCCTCATGTCAGATACATTTACTCATATAAAATATCTTTTTTTTTTCATTTTTAGAACGTGCCACTGCTGATTGGGCAGATAATCATTTAACGATGATGGCTACGTCCTGCATCTGTTGTTCACACTTCTTTTTCAATTTATTTTCTAGGTGGTCCAAGTGTATGGGCAATCTCTCCAGAGGAAAGGGTCAAACATGATCAGAAGTTTGACACCCTCTCCCCATCAATGGGCTTTGTCTCAGGTACACACACTTAACACACAGATGACCCATAATGTCATTTCACCATGACGAATCCTTCAGCCTTGAACTGTATAAACCACAGTGATTTCTCAATACCACAGTAATACACAGGCGCATGTAAATAAAAGGAGCTATGAAATGCACACACATGTTGTTGACATGCTCTGGTGACCAGGCACATATACACTCAGTAGACACATCTGCAGGCACAAACATACTGTTGTGATGTTTTGTATGCATGCATGAGAATCTCAATGTTCTTGTGTTTCTCTGTTAATTCCCTTTCTGCAGGGGAGCAGGCAAGGAAGTTTTTCCTCCAATCAGGGCTGCCTGCCTCAGTGTTGGCTGAGATATGGTGAGAAACCCACACACTCAATCAGGCGTTTGAGCGATTCATTCTTTGGAAGTATGTATTTACATTTATTCATTTAGCTGACACTTTTATCCAAAGCGACTTACAGTTGCTATATATGTCATACGTTCCACGCCTCTGGACCAAGAAGGGGTTAAGTCTCTTGCTCAGGGACACATTGGTGGGTCACAGTGGGGACACAATGCATCTTATCCACTGTCCCATCACCAACACTCTTTTGATGGCTCTGTTGTCCTCTGTGTTTTCAGGGCTCTGGCAGATATGAATAAAGATGGGAAGATGGACAGGTTGGAGTTTTCCATCGCTATGAAACTCATTAAGCTTAAACTCCAGGGTACACCGCTTCCCTTAGCACTGCCAATCATCATGAAGCAGCCTCCAGTGTCTGCTCCAACCCTCCATAACCCTGCTATGACCAACCCCGCTTACGGTACAGGATTATTGTTATTGTATACTGTATGCGAACGTTAGTTAGTGAGGAACGTGTCTTTTGCTTAGACACAGAAACATTACAAAAAATCTGGTGATTAAAATATATAAATGCAATACAATCAAGCCTCATTTTGGGATTTTTAACTTTTGACAAGCTAATCTGTAATGACTGACTCATTGTCTCCTTGCAAGTTTGTGCACATGCATATTGTCTGCTGTGTCATCTAACTGGTTTGCCTATTCCGTGTGTGTGTGTGTGTGTGTGTCCTAGGTATGGGTCCTGTGCCTAACATGCCCAGGATGCCTGGGACAAACCATGCTATGTTGACCCCTCTCTCCATGGCAACCCCGGGCCTCTCACCTTTGACAGCAATGACAGGTCTACACCCTTTGGTTCCTACACCAACCGGCATGAGCCCCATGATAGCCTCCACCCCCACCAGGCCCCTGATGTCCACCATGGGAAACACCACCCTGCCAAACGGCACCATGGGAATTCTCCAACCAATCCCAGCTGGAGCTTCGGCCACTGGTACAATCCATTTTTTATTTCTAACTTTATATTTATGTTTTTCCTCTCCCCCTTTTCCTTTGCTTTGAGTGACAGACTCAAGACTCATCAGGGCATTATCCTGTATGATTAAATACATTCATCTGTCCTTTGATCACTTGCAAGATGCGTACTAATAAGAGTAAATATTGTATGTGATTGGAGCAGAGTGCAGATGATGAAAAATGTATTTATTTTGAGGGGAAATGGGGGGGTAAGAAATGAATCCTGGCCTGTTTTTGCAGAGTCTCATTTCCTTACAAATAGCCTCCCTGTCCTTGACAAGGTTACAGCAGTGGCTAGATGACACTACAGGCCTCCCCTCCCCTTTCTGGAAAAAGAAAGTAAATAAAGTCTATGTTGGGGGAAAAGACAGCAATAAAATGTTATGGTTGTGTAAGTGGCTGCAATAAAACATATAACATGATTATAGGAGAGTCTGTAATGGATATATGTTGTGTGCTTTGTGCTGTCAGGCCTTCCTTTCTCTGCATCCTCATACTCCTTCTCTGGTGCTCCTGCTGGTATAAATAATGCCTCACCGCTGCTGGACCTAGCATCTAGCAGGTAACACGAACAAAAAACACACAGAAAGCACTGAGCAATTTCCTCTTTAGCACCATCAGTGACTCTTTTAGTGTTTAAAGCTTGTATTTTTGTGTCGCCGCTGTTTGTCTTTCAGCTCCTCTTCCTCCTCCCCCTCTGTGATGTCCCCCGTGGTTACTGGTCCCAGCGACTGGGCTGTGCCACAGGCTTCAAGACTCAAATACAGGCAGCAGTTTAACAGCTTGGATAAACAGATGGCTGGCTACCTCACTGGTACGATGTGTGTTCATATGTATGTGAACAGTGTGTAGGTCATACAAAACCAAACTATGGCTGGAATGCAGGCGTGGATTTTCATGAGCAATAGTCACTGATGATTTCACAACTGTTGTGTGTGTCTCTCTCTCTCTGTCTCTCTCTCTCTCTCTCTCTCTCTCTCTCTCTCTCTCTCTCTCTCTCTCTCTCTCTCTCTCTCTCTCTCTCTCTCTCTCTCTCTCTCTCTCTCTCTCTCTCTCTCTCTCACACTGATGATTTCACAACTGTTGTCTCTCTCTCTGTCTCTCTCTCTCTGTCTCTGTCTCTCTGTCTCTGTGTGTGTGTTAAGCCTTAGCTAACTCTAAGGAAGTGGTGGCTTCGGGTGTGTTGAGATACAGGGACAGTTTCACATACAAACACAGTATGCATTTGCCTTTTCATTCTGTTACTGTAAGCCTTGCTGGACCTGTTCTCTTGAAATACCCACACAGACACTTTAGCTAGACTTGCCGATATTTTCCTGTCAGTGTGACTTTGCACTATGTTTGGGTCAGCATATTATATAAATTACATAATTATTTTTTTCCCCCAGTTTTTTGAGCTCTTGGTCCTATATGTTACTAAATTATAGCTTACAGCTCCATACACCAGACACAACATAGACAAATGCTGTCTGTTAAATAAACCTACACCTGTTGTAGTTTCCTGTTGGAACATCAGATGTTTTCACTCTTTTATCACAAACATCAAACCTGTAGTAAGTCTTGGAAACCAGCTGTGGTGATGCACAAGACTTACATCGGCACGAACAGTACCAGTCCTGTGACATACACCTGTGACCTTTTCCTCTCTCCACTGCACCCACACATTTGTGCTATACACTTGTGGGACATTTGTCACTGTTGTTGCCAGGTCAGCAGGTGAGAGGTGCCATGGCAACCACGATGCTTACTCAGACACAGCTGGCTTCAATCTGGTAAGTGTCTGTGTGTGTACACTTTAGGGCTGCACAATATATCATTTCAGCATCGTCATCACAATGTGCCCATGCGCAATAGTCACATCGCAGACTGTGCAATGTCAAACAAGTCAAATTAACTCAAACCCCTCAACTTCTTTGCTGCTGGATAGAAAAGGAAAACTTGCACAATTCTCATTTTCCATGACTAATCTGCAGGAGAAGTCTGTCCGATGTAACCGGAGTTTGTTGCTAGTGAGTGACACGCAGGCTCTGCACAGTGAACCACCAATCACAATATTGTTTTTGATCAGTTTATCAAACAACCAAAGCAGGCCTCGTCCCCGTTAGTTGTCATCAAAAACTTGAAAATGAATGAGGGGCAGGACAAAACCATCTGAACTTTGGTAAACCACTCAGGGGTCTGGTGTATAGCTGCTCTTTTGTTTTTATTTGTATAATTTTGTTTAAAATATGTTTACCACATTAAAGCTCAAGAAAGGATGGTTTGCACTCAAAAAAAGTCTTCAGACTAAAAATAAAATGTATTTATATTTTCTATGCATTTCTCCTTCGACACCCCAGTAATTCTAGGATGCTTAATTCTTTTCAAATAATGCAACTGAAGTCAACTGGGGTTTTTTATATTGCAATATATATCTCATAAAACAAAAATATTGCAATGTACTGTTATAATGTTGATAATGTTTCCAATATCATGCAGCCCTTCTATAAATGTATTATGATTGCTGCACTGTTGTGTTCAAGAGCCAGAAAGGAACTTCATTCCACTACAGCTTGTATGACAATAGTCCGTTGTTTGTCAAGGAACCAAGTTGGTTATTGTAAACTGTAAAGCATAATACTTTTACCTCTGCTGTGTTTTTTTGTTGTTGTTCTCCCGAAATCCTTTTTGTATGCAAATTAATCTCAGTGTCATCACACAACAGCATCTGAAGGACTACTTAAGTATGTTTATATATGACAGTATATAGATAACTCCTTGTGCGATGATATTGTCTCTATAACTGGACATGTCCATCAGTGGCTGAGAAGTTTAGTCACCGACGCTGACTTTAACTATCTGTTCAATAGCCATAACATGATGAAAACAGCTGATCAACAGAAAGTTTTGGTCATAATGAAAACCTTGGTTCTCTAGAGGCGCAAAATATTTCCTAGTGAGCTTCAAGTACCTTCTCATCCTGCATGACATTCTACAGCATTCAAAGGTAATACAGTCAGTATAAAATCTTGTAAAAACCTTGCACCTCCATTTGTAATCTTTCCACAGGAATTTAGCTGACGTGGACAAGGACGGCAAGCTAAAAGCTGAGGAGTTTATTCTGGCAATGCATCTCGTGGATGTGGCTAAGACTGGACAGCCACTGCCGCTGACGCTGCCAACTGAGCTGGTGCCACCCTCACAAAGGTATGTGGACACACATGACTCAATTTAACAGCAACATTTAAATGGACTACATGAATGTATTTGTATTTTTAATATATTTTAATCACGTTACTTGTGTATTCAAACATGTTATTCAGTGTGTCCGCGGGGTCTTAAAAAGTCTTAAAAGGTGATAAATCAATTAAGGCCATTAAAAAGTATTAAAAAGTCTCAATCGCCATTAAACAAGGTATTAAATTTTGAAGATATTTTTTTTGAATGTAAAAATCCTGTTTGTCCAAAAGTTGGATGAACGTACTATTTATAATGCATAGGCAAAAATACTAGACAGGCAGTGACTATTTCACTCTTAAAAGTTCCAAAAAATAGATCCATGTAAACCGGAAAAGTGCCTTTTTATTAAAACACATTCAACTTTTCATAAAACCGATGTTCTCGTCAGTGTCACTATTTGTGAACAGATCAATCACAGCCTGGATAGAGCGTGCTGCAACAAACTTTATAAATGTTGAACTCATTGTTCTGCATAAACTGTTATGATTATTGGCGAGTTAGTAGCCTGCCCAAAATCAAGGTTGGAGACTATCATGTAGCCTAGAGCATTTTTCTTGCACAGTTATACAGTTAATGTTATAATATTAGGCTATATTAATACAGTCATTTAGACTAGTTCCTCCTCCAGGTTGTGCCTGTGCTACACCGCCTACACTACTTATTGTTATTCATCACTCAGTTTATTCTCTTCATCTTTATTCCCTCCTGGCCTATTTGAATTTTGTTGTATTGATCAAGTGGTCGATTAAAGTTATCACACATATCATTGCAGGCAAGCTCACATTATCTAGTTTAAACCAACTAAAACACAAAATTACACTGTGTTTCATATGATTTGCTGTAATTTTGCGTACATAATGGTCATAGCTTATATAAGACAGTGGCTTTTCGCAGGAAATCTGACCAGTCCTTCACATAGAAAACAGTTGGTCATTACAGGCTGTTATAGGCAACTGAGAACGTTGGTGAATGCCTCAATTTTTAGTTGGTTTTACAACCTGATGACATATAGGCAATAAATATATTTAAATTCCTTTTAAAAACTCAAAAATGTCCCTTTTTAAAGGTGTGTGGCTGATTTAATCGGTTAGCTCAAAGTGGCGCGGCAGTCTTAAAATACACTCGCCTAAAGGATTATTAGAAAAACCTGTTCAATTTCAACAGCAGAAGACCCCACTGGGTACCACTCATCTCCACTACAAATAGGAAAAAGAGGCTACAATTTGCAAGAGCTCACCAAAATTGGACAGTTGAAGACTGGAAAAATGTTGCCTGGTCTGATGGGTCTCGATTTCTGTTGAGACATTCAGATGGTAGAGTCAGAATTTGGTGTAAACAGAATGAGAACATGGATCCATCGTGCCTTGTTACCACTGTGCAGGCTGGTGGTGGTGGTGTAATGGTGTGGGGGATGTTTTCTTGGCACACTTTAGGCCCCTTAGTGCCAATTGGGCATCGTTTAAATGCCACGGCCTACCTGAGCATTGTTTCTGACCATGTCCATCCCTTTATGGCCACCATGTACCCATCCTCTGATGGCTACTTCCAGCAGGATGATGCACCATGTCACAAAGCTCGAATCATTTCAAATTGATTTCTTGAACATGACAATGAGTTCACTGTACTAAAATGGCCCCCACAGTCACCAGATCTCAACCCAATAGAGCATCTTTGGGATGTGGTGGAACGGGAGCTTCGTGCCGTTGATGTGCATCCCACAAATCTCCATCAACTGCAAGATGCTATCCAATCAATATGGGCCAACATTTCTAAAGAATGCTTTCAGCACCTTGTTGAATCAATGCCACTTAGAATTAAGGCAGTTCTGAAGGCGAAAGAGGGTCAAACACAGTATTAGTATGGTGTTCCTAATAATCCTTTAGGTGAGTGTATGTTGAAAAAGTCTTGAAAAGGTCTTAAAAAGGTATTGAATTTTACTTCAAGATTCCTGTATATACCTTGTTATTTTAAATCTGTGTTCCAGGGCTGCAGTGAATGGATCCAGCTCTTCTGTCTATGCAGCTCCGACCAATGACTTGGACATTGAACCTCCACAGAAAGCCAAAGCTAACTGTCAGTACTCAACACTACCAACCCTAAACTGTGTAGCCCTGTTTCACTGCTGCATTATGTTAGTTCTTCTAAGTTCTCGATATTCTCCATTACTAAGACAACGCTCCATTACCACAATGCACTGACAAGTAATAATATAATAGCCAAAACACGCACACACAGTAGGGTAGCCAAATGACTCTAAGTAGTGTCATCTGCAGAGTATCATCTTACACAAAGTTACAAGGCAAGTTGTAGCAGCTAGAATTAAAGGTTATATCAAGCACAGCTAAAATGCTATTTAAAATCCCTTAACATGAATTACAATCTCATAATCGTGTCTTGTCATTTGTCAGAGGCAGTGCTGTATTCACGTTTCTGTTTTGTGTCTGTCTATAATTGTCCTTTTAAAACACACAAGCTCAAATAAAGAATTAGTTATTTGTCAAATAAATCATCAACATTTTTCACAATAATTTTAAATAGATACATTAATTTTATCCAAAATTGTCAAGTCCACATTCCAGTGTCCGTTGGGCACATTTGCAATTTTAATACTTTAAAGGAGCTCATTAGGAGTATGTTTAAAATATTTACTTATATTTTATGTAGTATTCTTATTTATTTACTTATGTACTTCTAAATTTTATTCATTCAAACAAAGTAAATATTTGCAGAATTTGACTGCAACACTGCATTCATAAAAAACATTTGTCTATCTTCAGTTTCGTTCGAGGATAAATTCAAAGCAAACCTTGAACGAGGGAACGCAGAACTGGAGAAAAGACGACTAGCTCTGCAGGAAGCGGAGAGGAGGGAGCTGGAGCGGCGCGCTCAGAAGGAGAGAGAGGAGCAAGAGAGGAAAGAGAGGGAGGCTCGGGAGGCTGAGGAGAAGAGGCGGAAAGAGGAGGAGAGGAGGCTGGAGCGGCAGAGGGAGCTGGAGAGGCAGAGAGAAGAAGAGCGACAGCGAGAGATAGAGAGAAAAGAGGTGAGGAGGCACGTTACAGCTCTCTGAATGACTGTACCGTATGTACAAGTGTTTTTCTATCAACGTTTCCTGCTTTACAGTCACAGCAGAGTCTTTTCTTTACGCTTCTGTGTCCTGTGTGGGTTTATTCCAGGCCGCACAGCGGGAGCTTGAGCGCCAGAGGAAGGAAGAGTTGGAGAGGAGGCGGCGAGGAGAGCTCCAGATAAAGAAGGAGCAGGAGCAGGATGATATCATCAGATTGAAAGCTAAGAAAAAGAGTCTGGAGATGGAGCTGGAGGCTGTGGTGAGCGGCAAAGAGACATTGTAGTGGTTTATTCCAGCACAACATATCACATTAGCGTAGAGATACTGTAATCATAGATTGTTCATCCAGCCGTCGCACACCCATCATCTCTCTGTCCTTCTGTTTTTCTCTACCTCAGGGTAACAAGCACCGTCAGATCTCAGACCGGCTGCATGACTTTCAGAACAAGAAGAAACTTCACAAGACGGAGCTGGATCTAACCAATCAAAGGATAGAGACACGCCAGCATGACATTAACAACCTGCAGAAACAGCTAGAGGTGTGTGTGTGTGTGTGTGTGTCCACTGTTGTTTTTCACACTACACACAAAACACTATATTATAGTGGAAAAGTAGCCATGAGAGTTATTAATGGTTATAACATTTTGTGTTGCATAAAGGTTTTCCTAAATATTTTTATGACTCATTTCTTTTTGCTTCTGATGCATTTCCTCTCGGTCAGGAGTTCCAGAGGAAGTTGTCCCAGCTGACTCCGGAGCAGAAGAGACTGACTGAGAAACTCAGAAACATGGCTCTGAATAACCTGCCAGGTTAGCACTGATGGAGAACTCAGGAACAACACCATCTTCCAGCAGCACCGATGGATGGATGGACAAATAGGCTGTTGGATACATGTTAGATAAAAGAACATGACAAATTTGGTAGTTATATTACAGTAAAGAATAGGAATAATTTAACAGAATCCATCAAACCACTGCAACAAATTGAAAAATGAAAATGTATGGCGAGTGCATGAGAAACAAATGAATGAGAATAACTTTTTTTCCCTACTGGGATGATGTCCGCTTGTTTAACTGTGTTTGATCTGTTTGTAGTGTCAACCATGTCTACCCTGAAGGTGGGTGTTACAGAGAAAAAAGGGAAATGTAGGAATCTGCAAGAGCAGCTGAAAACTCTGGAGAAAGACACTGCTGGCAAACTGGCTGAGATGGACCAGTATAACAAAGATATGCAGGTAATAATTAAATACACTAAGTATAACAATAGTAGAATAACTGAACATGGCATCAGTTAAAATAACATTTCACATTCATATTAAGACTGCTTTTATCCAGGAATAACATGGAGCATGTGAACAGGTTTGCAGATCTTTTAAAAAGTCTTAAATCATATCATATTTTAATCATGTTTAAACTTAAGGGCCTTTGTTAAGAAAAATACTTCATCAGAAACTCGTACGGTTGTTTTTTATTCATTCATTCAGCGCTCATTTTGTCAAGATTCTTCTTACAATATGCTGGGCTGTGTGAGATGTGTTTTATGTTTTAATACTCCTCTGCTGGATCTAGTGAGGATCTGACCAAGCTGGGCAGACTGTAAAACCTTTAATCACGGCAGATATACTGAAATCCCTTTTCATTTAATTGTGCCTGTAAGCAATGGGGCTCTGCCTCTGGCACAACTTAACTGAGTGCTGCTGTTAAAAATCTTATTCTTTTATTCTTTACTTGTTAATGTTTGACAAGTCAAAATGTCCACCACGAGGAAGAAGTCTTAATTTTGTGGCTTGCAAGAAGGACAGTAGTTTGAAGGGAAGGTGGACCATTAGTTATTTACTTTGTCCAGCGTGATTCTTCCAGCCAATTTGCCTGTTTCCACAAATATTACCTACATACTACTGCAGCTTGTCCCTTGATGCCTCTTCTCTGTCTTCATCCTTTCCATCATAACCCCCTTTTTTCTATCTGATAATGATTTCATCCCATTTTTATCTTTAACTGTTCTTCTTTTCTCTTCCCTTCTTCTCTTTTAGAAATGATCTTATCTTTCTTCTTTTCTTTTTTCCAATGCTGGATTATTTCCCCTTTTCTCTCCTCTGTTCCTCCTTTCTTTCTCTTCCCTCTTATCCCTTGTCCCCAACCTTATAGTATGTGGGTGTTGAGGACTCTATGCTTCAGGCTGTCTTCTGTCTGCTGGCCTGCCTCCGTAACCTCTTCTACCTACTAAAGGTTTTCGCTTTAGGTCTCTTTGTTGTTCTCGTCTTTTTATCGCTCCTCTGCTCTTTACTATTGGCCATTGCTCTCCTCAAATTTTCCATAATTCTGACATCTTGTGTCTGTGCTGTTTCAGCTTCTCTGGCTTCTCTTATTATTATATTTTAACATACTTCTCTTTTATTTTTCTTTCTTCTCTCTGTTTATGTTTGTGCATGCTGTGTGTGTTCAAACCTTAGCCTTTATGTCTATCATTCTTTAATCCAGTTACAATCAAGCGTGTCTTTTGTATGCGTCAGGAACTGAGAGAGAGCCAGAGAAAACAGCAGGCAGAGCTAGAGAGACTTCGGAGCATCAAAGAGGACAAACGGCGTGAGCTGATTCAAAAGAAGCAGCAGGCAGAGGAGAAGAGGAAGAGGGAGGAGGAGAGGAGACTGGAGGAGGAGAAGAGAAGGAGGGAGGAGGAGGAAGCTCAGAGGTATTTCACCTTCACACAGATTTATTTATTTTTTAGACTTAATTATACTCATGATAATAAGCTTAAAAATAGAATTTCTCGACCTCCTCTAAAATGTCCATTCAAACTAAAATGGCGCACTTCTTCATCTTGATAACTTTTTAAATAAGGTAAATGTTTGCTTTCCCCTCTCAGGCGTATAAAGATGGAAAAAGAGCGGCAGGAGAAGTTGAGGAGGGAGGAAGAGGAGCGTCAAAGGAGGCTTCAGGAGGAGAGAGAGGCCAAAAGGAGGGAGGAGGAGGAGAAAGAGAGACAAGCTCTCATCCAGGCTGCCAAGGAGCAGGTTGAACGAGAGCTCAGAGCAAAGGAGGAGGCAGAGCGGAAGAGGAGAGAAGCAGAGGAAAGGAAGAAAAGAGAAGAGGAGGAGCAGCAGAAGCAAGCAGAGAGACGGAGGCAGGAGGAGGAGAGGCGAAAGCTTGAGGAAGAAAGGCGGCAGCTTGAGGAAGAGAGGAGGAAACTAGAGGAAGAGAGGAGGAAAGAGGAGAAGAGACGGAAAGAAGAGGAGGTGGAGCGACGCAGCATAGAGGAAGAGAGGAAGAGGTTAGAGGAGGAGCGGAGAGAAGAGGAGCGCAGAAGAGAGAGGGAGGAGGAAGAGAGGAGGAAACAGAGGGCAGCCCTTGCAGCCCTCCGAGATGAGGAGGAGAGGAAAAAGCGAGATGAGGAGGAGAGAAGAAAGAGGGATGAAGACAGGAGGAAGCTTCAGCAGCAGCAGCTGGAAGAGGAGAGGAGGAAACTTGAGGAAGAAAGAAAGAGAGCAGAAGAGGAGAGGAAGAGAAAGGAGGAGGAAGAGGAGCAGAGGAAAGCTGAGGAAAAGAGAAGGGAGAAAGAGGTGGCATCTCATCTGCAGCCGCAGCAGCAGGCAAGTGGAAGAGGGAAAATGGATATTCAGGAGAAACTGACGGCTCTGCTGAGAGGACTGGAGGAGAGGAAGGGTAAAGACACATGTCTTTGTGCTTTTCCATACTTCTCTGTAGTCATTTCCTGCCTTCAGTGTGTATTAAAACCACATTATGATCCCTGATGTGCTTTAGGGGGGCAACCCAGGGCCACACAACACAGGAAGTCAGCGGCTCTCACGTCCTTCAAAGCGCTCTACCCGTTCACTGAACGAAATAACGAAGAGCTCAGCTTTAATGCAGGCGATATCATCGAGGTATGGTTGAAGATCCTGTCTAATAAGGGCGTGACAAAAGATCCAGCTGCAACAGATTAGCGGACTATTCTTGTTAAAATTTTTGTCTCTTCTTCTCTTCGTCACTCTTTGACTTTTGTTCCTCTTTATCCTTCTCAAACTTTTCTGTCTTCGGTCAGGTTGATGAGACAGCAGAGCGGGAGGAGGGTTGGCTGTACGGCAGCAGACAGGGGAAGATGGGCTGGTTCCCTGAGAGCTACGTCGAGAGAGTGGGCCAATCAGACGCAGCCAATGCTGTTGCTGCTGCCAGTGCCCCTAAAGTGCCGCTCCAGTCACAGCTTTCCAGTGCCCTTGACTCTGTCAAGGCAGCAGGCTCGAAGTCTGCCTTCACACCAACGCACTTTCCAAACTCTGCTCCCTCTGAGACACAAGGACAGGTGAGAGGTTTAGAGAATGTAGCACCTTAAACAACAGATCTGCCTCACGACTGTACTGACTCACTGTACTGTCTTTCTCTATGTGCCTCTGTCAGCAGGTGGTGGGTAACCTGTTGGCAAAAGCCCTGTGTTCGTGGACAGCAAAGACGGACAACCATCTGAACTTCAATAAGGATGATGTCATTCAGGTGTTGGAGCAGCAGGAGAACTGGTGGCTCGGAGAGCTGAACGGTGAACGGGGCTGGTTCCCCAAGACATATGTGAGACTGCTGGAAGAAGAAGAGAGTTCAGAGTAAGTCTTCATACACACATATTTGTTCCCTATAATTAAACTAATAGGAGGACAGTGGCTTTGTCTCTTTGTGAAAATGTCAACATTTTTAAATTTTACATTCCTCTTGGAGCTCTTTCTGGGGACCTCACTAGTCAAACAACTCATGAACACCTACTGATTTAACTGGCAAATCACCTGGATTGACTTGTAACTGAAACACGCACAGCTGTGTACCTCACTTCCATTTAATTCCTCAGATATACTTCAGGCCTTAATTTCCATGTGTTTTGTGAGTTTTTTTGTTTGTTTGTTTGTTTTTTCCTTGAATAGGCTGACCTTGCACAGTGATTGCTGAATTATTATACTAACTCAATTTAGAGCAGAGAAGTTTGTGTGAGGCACACCAATTCGAGAATTATTTTTTTTTGTTTTAAATTTTCTTCAGTCTGAAAGTAATCCACTGATAGCTGTTTCTACATGTGTGCATTGCAAAGAGGATGTGCTTATTTGGCATACTTTTACTGGTGTCAGTTTACCTAAATAAATATGGAGCTCATGTTGTGGCCTACAGCTAACTTACTGACTCCATGGGCATGGCGTAAGGAGTTTTGTCTGAAGGGGGGGCGCACAATGTCACTTTGAAAACCTTTGAAGGAAATCCACTTTCTCCTCATACATAAAATCAACCAAAAATTCCACTTTTGTTTGCCACAATCTGTTAATGGTCATGAGTATATCTGTCATATTTCATTTGTAAACGCGTACAAACAACTCGGTTGCCTGACACACATACCTGTTACCTTTCCAAACCGACATATTTTGTGGCCGTTGAGGTGCTTTTTATCTAAGGATAAATCAGTGAAAACATGCGTCAGTGACACACTAATGTCTATGTGTCGGCGAGTGTGTCTAAAGGTGAGGTAACTGCTTCAGTATGTAAGGTATTTAGGCTACAGATGTTTCTCTGATGAGGAATCTGCTGTGTAACCGTGTCACACACACTTAGAAATCACACTGCAGAGTTATAGATATGGTTTGATTCCAGCTGGAGTTGTACAATACTGTTGTTGTGAAAAGGAATCTGAGCCTGAAAGTGAAGTCATGTACATGTTTCAACCTTCACCTCTGATCATGTGGTTTGGCTACTGAGGACCCCAGAGAAGAATCTCTGCTCCTTTTTGTATTGAAAGAAGCCAATTTATGTGTTTTCGGGCCTTTTGACTAGTGTGTCTACTGGTAGTCCAAGCACATTCAACTCATAGACCCCAGGGCAGACCCAGCCCATGCAGCAGAGATTGATACCCCCATCTGGCTTAAAGGGATAGTTTGGAATTTCTGAACTGGAGCTGTATGAGGTACTTATAGAATATTTTCAGCGCTTTACCTTGTCGTCAGACAGCCATTTCCTTTTGAACTACTTTTTCCCAACCGTAGAACTTCCATTTTCCTACACATAAGCGCAACTTGGCTGCGCACTTTATAAAAGAAATGGCTCTCTGACAGCAAGGTAAAGTGCTAAAACTTTCTAAAGACAGTGAACACTGGAACTGACATTAATATTTTTCAGTGGGCTGTCATTTAGGTAGCTAAAATACATTTTACTGGTGACCCTGTCCACAGCAGTACATTGCTTAGCCTCAGTGAACAAATCTCTGCTTCTCCAAACTGGGGACATGCCATCCGCCACCTATTGCGGGTCAAATATTGACTATGGATATGTACCTCATACATCCCCACTTCAAAAAACCTAAACTATCCCTTTAAGAATGCCTTGCGTCCCCCAGGAGGAGCTGGAGGGCACAGCTGGGGAAAAACTATTTGGTACTACTTTGCTTGTATAGTTTTCTGCTTGCCTCTGTGAACCAGATACAAGTGGATGGATGGAATACAAGAATAAATGTTAATGTACTCTTTCTGTGTTTACAGCTTGAAGAGCCCCCCTCCTGATGCTTCAGAGCCTAGCGACAGCCTGCAGCTTGAAGGTACAGTTCCTCTGAAATATCACCCTCATGTGGTTCAGTTAATATTTATTTTATTTTTTTATTAGATAGATAAAAAATACTTTAAAACAAGGACAACAATTTAAAACAAATATACAAAGCCCTCTTCGGGTGTTTCTGAATAATTCACAGACTATGGTCACATACTTGATTGTCTTTTAACCATGATTTTAAATTTAATTTAAATGAATAATATGTTTCACAATCTCTAATAACAATTGGCAGACTATTCCATGTGTGAGCTGCTCTCACTGACAAAGCTGACTGTCAGAAGACAGTCCTCCTCATAGGTATTATACAGTCTGCTCTTGCTACCGACCGAGTGTGTCTATTATCAGTTGTTTTCTGCTTTATAAAAGCAGTAAGACGGGGAGGAGCTAAGAATGAAAAATCTTATAGCTGAGACAAGCATCTGTAAATTTAACATGATTGTCCCAGCTTAGTAAATTATGATTGTTTTAGACTGTGACTGTGGTGATGAGTATTTGGCTTTCTATCAAGCACCTTGGAAGCGTGGTGGTACACTAACAGGTTTGATATGTCATACTAGTCAAACAGTATGACATATATGGCATGATCATAGCATTAAAATATACTGTTGCTGCCTTAATATTTAGACAATTTCTGATATGGCAAAAGTTTGACAAATTAAACTTAAATATATTACCTTCTTAATTTGTTTTTTAATGTAAGATTAGAATCAATTATTACAAGATATTTAAAATCAGAAATCAGCTTTTCCCCTGCAGTGTAAATATTGGGTGTGAGATCATCTACAGAACTCTTCGTGAGGAACATACAACCTATTTTCTTTGTTTAAATGAAGACAGGAGTTATTAAGCCATTGTGTGACATCGGCCATCACTGCCGTGAGCTTACATGCAGCTTTCTGTTTTTTTGCTGCGTGCACATAAATGACAGTATCATCAGCATACATTTGAATTTCAGACTCATTGCATACAGTGGCTAGGTCATTTATGTAAAGGCTAAACAACAGGGGCCCCAGAATTGATCCCTGAGGTACACCAATACCACACTCAGGGGCTGATGACACCTCATCATTTACCTTGACCCGCTGTGCTCTGCCTTCAAGATATGATTGCATCCATTTAATACTATTAGGGGAGAAGTTAAACAATGAGAGCTTTGTAAGTAGGACATCATGATCCACAGTGTCAAAGGCTTTCTTTAGGTCCAAGAATAACAACAACTCCCCCTTTATCTAGTTTAGATCTCACATTCTCAAGGAAAAAGCAATTTGCAAGTTCCGTTGAATGGTCTCTATAATCTAAAGCCAAACTGCATAGGATGCAATCTGAAAGGGGCAGTTGTTAAAGTGGCTAGTAAGTTATTAGCCACATACCTTTCAATTACCTTTGACATGGTAGGTACTAATTGGTCTATAATTGCAGTACCTCTGATGGATCACCTGTTTTGTGAATTGGTGTTATTATAGCTGTTAGGCCTGGGCGAAAAATCGATTGAATGAATTAATTCGAATTTTTTGTTGCGGGCGATTTAAAAAATAAGTAAATCGAGTTTTTGTGTAATAGCACATTTTTGGCTCCCCGGGGTTTCCGTAGTGTTCGTTTCCCATAGCGACAACATCATACACTAAACAGCAACAGCAAGCGACAAAATGGCTACCGGTGAGAGCGGGAAGTTTGTTCCCAAGAAAGGAATAAAGTCATCTGTTGTTTGGAACTGGTATGGGTTTGCTGCGACAGATGTGGAACAACAGACACCACGCTGCAACATTTGCCTAAAGCCTATCGCAGTGAAAGGCAGCAGCACCACAAACCTATTCCAACACCTGAAACAGAGACATCCAGCCGAATATGAAAAATGCCAGTCTCTCCGCGATGAACAAAGCCGCACTGACCAACAAACCTTATTGCTTTCCTTAAGTAGGGGGGGAAATCGGAAAAAATCGTAAATTGAATTAAAGTAAATAAAATCGGAGATTTTATTTTTAGGCCATATCGCCCAGCCCTAATAGCTGTCTTCCATACTTTTGGAAAGATCCCTTCATTAATCCAGTCCATACACATCTTTAGCTTTAGAACTCTTAAGGGAATTGATAATCATTCTTACTTTAATTTCAGAAATTTCCTGAATCTCAAACACAGGTTTATTATAATTTATAGGCATTGTGCTTATTAAATTGGTGGAGGGATTCTGGATCAGTGTCCCTACTGATTCTACAAAATATGAATTAAGAGTTGCTGCTATTTGAGCTTCATCCTGTGTAATACTGCCATTCACACAGATTTCAAGGCCACCATGGTAACCCACCAGGTTACCATTATGATGTTTACGTGTCAACCTCTTTATGTTCTCCCAAATGAATTTAGTATTTCATTTTGCTTGGTCAATAACATTAACAAAAAATATAGCTTTTGCTTTCCTAATCTCTCTTGTTACCTTATTCCTTAGTCCCACAAACTTTAATCGATCCGTTACTAATTTCGATTTTAAGGTGGCTTTCAGTGCCGCATCATGTTCTCTCATCAATTTATGTATATCACCATTTAACCATGGAAGAGAGCTTTTTTGTCTGCGGCCAGGTTTAGTTTTCCTTAAAAAAGTATTCATTATACATTGAACTTTGGAGAGAAAAATCTGAATGAGACAGAATATTATTCCAATTAATCCCTTTTAATTGCATTTTCAAAATTATTTTGTTCTCCCTTAGGTATTCTGAGCTGACTCGGCAGACCGGGTTTTTTTACAACACAACTAAGGCGCTTTTTGGATTTGATCTTCATACAGTACATACATTTATGTTTTAACATTTTTATGGGTCAGACTTGGCATTTTGTTTTAGTTTTACCATGGACTTGAATTATCTATTGTGTCTCAAGTTCACAATATAATCTGTATTTTTCTAAAAATCAAATAAAGTGCCTGTTTATGTATGTTTACCTGTCCAGATAAAGTCGAGACACTCCTGACTACAGTATTGTGGAGTTCAGTTTACCTTAACAGCAGGTCTTGTATAGGCTGGAGCATAATCTACAGTGCCATTCATTTATGTTCATGTATTCTCTTTCCTTTCCAGAATACGTGGCGTTGTACACCTATGAGTCTCCGGAGCCTGGTGATCTGACATTTAGAGAGGGAGATGTGATCTTGGTGAGCAAGAGAGAGGGAGAGTGGTGGAACGGCTCTATAGGCGACTGCACAGGCCTCTTCCCCAGCAACTACGTCAAACCTAAAGAGACCGATGTAAGAGTGCTCACCACATACAAGATGAAAAAACTTTATTTTGTCCATTACTGTGTGACATGGTGTTTGCAAGACGTTCCTGTTAGTTTCTCCCTGTAGATTTGTAATGAGGATACTATTGTATTGCTTTTTTTCAGACATCAAGCATATCTGGAAAGAAGAAGCAAGGTAAGCTCACTGTAGACTTCTTTTTCTCCTGTTTTTTGGATTTTGCTGTAGTTTAAAGTTACATTTGTGTCTCTTTGTTTGCCCAGAGATTGCCCAGGTGGTTAGTGCCCACTCCTCTACCAGCCCCGAACAGCTCAATCTGGAAAATGGCCAGCTCATTGTCATCCTCAGCAAGAATGCCTCTGGCTGGTGGCTTGGAGAGCTGCAGGTCAGTGTTCAACTGCTGTTCAAACCTGCATGGCCTTTAGTACTGTACAGTAGACCACAGAGGGTCTGTGATTCATCTCCATTCAACTCTGTTGCCCTTCAGCAGCTGAGGCTTCATATTGCTGGAGGTTTCAGTTCAAAACTCACTGTTTGTTTTTGTTTTCTAACTGTAGGCTCGTGGTAAAAAGCGTCAGAAGGGCTGGTTCCGTGCTTCTCATGTCAAAATATTGGGATCTAACAGCGGCAAGTCCACACCAGCACCACAGCCAGGTAACACACACACACTTCTGCAAGTCAGGTGAAGGCCAGAGGTGAAGAGTTACAAAGTAAACTACATAAATAAAATAATGGTGTGGTAAAATAATAGTGTAACTTACACATACACACTCTGTTCTCTTCTCTCTCAGTCTGTCAGGTGATAGCCATATATGACTATGCAGCCGCCAATGGGGATGAGATGAGTTTCTCCAAAGGTCAGCTGATTAACGTTTTAGACAAGAACAACCCTGATTGGTGGAAAGGAGAGATCAACGGGACCACTGGTCTGTTTCCCACCAATTATGTTACGTTAACCACAGCGGATTGTGACCCCAGCCAGCAGTGTAAGTAAATCCCTTAATCATTATATCATGATTATGAATGACAGAAATATGCATGTTTTAAAACACGGAGATGCTCTTCTTCCATGTTGCTTCACGCCACTGTGACTGACTAAAACTTATCCTTTGTTCATCCATGCAACGGCCATCTACCATCATTAATATTTTTTAGATCCACCCATCTCTTCATCTGTATATTCTCTCTTCTCACTGACCGTTTCACCTTTTCCCTGTTTTTCCCACTTCCTCCCTCCCCCAATCTATATTTCTCCTTCCCTGTCTCTCTGTTTCCTTGGCCTCTGTCTCTCTCTTCTTCTAGGGTGGTAGAAAGTCCTCTTCTTCCTCCTCCTCCTCCTCCTCTTCCTCTCCTCCTCCTGACTTCAGAGAGACCCGCTATTACACACTGCTTTGAAGGGGCGGAGTGTCTGGACCCCCTATCTACTAACTTCTCCCACTGAGCGTGTGCATGTGTTTGTTTGCGTGTGTGTGTGTGTGCATGTGTGTGTGCATATGAAATACAGAGCAGAACAGAACAGGTGTGTGATAGAGGAAACAGGTCATGAGTTGCCTGTGAAACTTTCTTGACTCTGAATGCTGATTCTGTGAGATGTTAAAGCCTCTGTGCCTTCTGGGATTTCCTTCGCTCCTTGTTTTGACTGTGAACTGACGATGCTAAATCATCATGTAATTGATCAGAAGCAGAGGGATAGTGAGTCTCTCTGTGGCCTGTCCCTCTCCTTTCCTTTTGTTTCTCTTCACAAGACATTTAATTTTCCCTAATATTCATGCCACATCAGTCACCCTCTTTTCTTTTTTTATAAAATTAATATCATACTAACATTTAAGCCTGTGGGTATTTTGAGAGATAATGGACCCACCCATCCTTCATTTGTCTTTAAAATACTTGAAACAAGGCCTCAAGTGGCAGTATGACAGTATTTTTAATTCATCAAAGAAACATGTTCAGGAAGTAGTAAAGTAAAAGATGTGTTCAGGACTGAATTAGAAACTTGAGTGGAGAGTTTGTATAAAATAAAACATTTGCAAGATCTCTACCAGACAGATGTTTGAAGATGTAGCATTAAACTTCCAGTTTTTCCTGCTCTGACATTTTGCAGTGAACCTTTTGATTTTTAAATCAAAGGCCTTTCTTTTTAGGATATTTTGGGTCTGAAATGGTACAAGCAGAAGCTGTCTTCTACATTTAAAAGCCATAATTGGATCAGCTGTTCATCACTGACAGAAGGAACATACGTTGCTTTGAAGTGAGATGGTGTGACTCTTCACCATATGGCTAACTGTTCCAGAGCCGCACACAGACACAAACTTTGCCTCTGGGATGATAATACAAACTGCTGCTGCACCTTATATTAACTGGCTGCTGCTCTGAATGTTTTTGTTTATGCAGAAAGTGAATGCATGTCTGTTCATGGTGTTCGAAAAACTAACACAGTAATTATTGTGAGGACTGAGGATACATTTCGTTCGGGTCAACAAGTGGGGGAAAAAAACAATATCTATGCAACTTCAGATGAGGTGACTCTGGTGCCCAATCTGATGAATACTGAGGTGCACTGACATGTGACTGGTTTTAAGAGACCCATACTAAATGTCTTGAATGTCTGGATGTCTTTAGTGCAATACTATCAAATTCAATGTTATGATGACGAACCGTAATGCAAGGAAAGCAAATTGTCAAAAATTTTTCTTTCATTTAATTCAGAGGTGACTCAGTTTACCACAATCGTCCCTCAGATTTGTGAAAGCCTGCAGTAAAAATGAACCACATTGACAGAAAGCAGCATAGCAGCAGAGGTTGTTAGCACAACTGATTTGACAATATATTTAGAACATTTGTGGTACAAGATGGTGTAACTATTTTTAAAGACGTGTCTTAATATATTTTCTGATTCTGAAATAAAACATAAATAAAGATTGGTTTGAGATGACAGAAGTGTTTTTTTATTGTTAAATTAAATAATTAAATCAGTCTGTGTGTGTGTTTATATTGTCAACACAATACCAACGATTAAGATGGACAGAGATACAGTATGTGACTAAAACTGTTTTAGTGACCTGCGTTTTTAATTTAATTTTTATGCCTAAACTGTGACAATATCAAGTATCGGATCTGGACATTCTCTAAGAAAATATTACCAATTTTTCAGGCTTATTTCAGTGGCAGAAGTTACTGAAAAGCTACTGAAAAAGGGCGAGAAAGAAAGAATCCCCCTTCCTGTTTTGGTACAAACAGATTTGGTCTAGGAGATGTTTTTAGTCTGATGCCAGCAATGACAAGATAACAGCACAGAAGAAGAAAGAAAGTCAAACTTTAAGCAAACGCCACAGCAGACAGACCGCTAAATAAAATACAGAGGGAGACCGAATGAGCCATGACTTTACGAAGCAGTTTTCACTTTCTAAACCTTTGGGATGAGACAGACGATGAGGGTGAAGGAAGAGAAGGGTCAGTGAGGGAGCAACAGTCAGCTAGTATGGGACCCTCAGATTGGGCTAATGGTCGCCCTGTATCAGGTAAGTTTTTGTGTGTCTGTGTGTGTAATTTATGTATGCTAATCTAGAATACAGTCTTGTGTTTCCCTTTCCGTCCATCCTTCTTCTTTTTCTTCCTATTCTCTTTCTGAAAGCTTCAGTAATGTGCACATAGACTTGAGAAAGGGTCAACAGCAGCACCATCACCATTTTGTGTCCAGCAGGCGGCAGTAAAGTCAGTGCGGTGTTGCTGTGGTTTAAATGGTGGTTAGGTGTTGCTGATGTGGCCGCACTAGTTGAATCGTGTTCGTATAAGTAATAAACTTCCCCTTGTGTGTTCTCATCTCCTGCAGGGTGTGCAGACCTGAACAGCCTGGACTCAATGAGTCCCCTGGAGAAGAAGAGACAGGGTTACATCCATGAGCTGATACAGACTGAGGAAAGATACGTGGAAGACTTGCAGATAGTGCTGGAGGTAATGGACACGTGTCCTCCTGAATAATAAATGTATAAACATACATTAGAGTAAATCGACCAAGTACAATTACATGGCGTTAATTTATGAGAACAAAATCTCTCAGGATGTCTGCATGATCTCCTGACTTTTTCTTTCTGTGTAATGTCTTTATACATGTGTCTGTGTGTCTTTGTGTAGGTTTTTCATAAGCCGATGTCAGAATCAGGTCGCCTGAAGGATGCAGAGATGGCCATGATCTTTGTGAATTGGAAAGAACTGCTGGCCTGCAACACTAAACTCCTCAAGTAAATATCTCATGGGCCGAGTGAACTGGGGACAGTCAGACTGAGAGTGATAAAATTATAAATAAGTGCAGCTATTTAAATGTTGCATTTATGTGGATTGTCTGTAATAAAATAAATAATAATATATATAAAATAATACAGCGCTGCTTGTGTTTATATATACATGCATTTATGTGCAGGGCGCTACGTGTTCGTAAGAAGATGGGTGGGGAGAACATGGCAGTGCAGATGATCGGAGATATCCTGGCCGTGGAGCTGCCCCACATGCAGCCCTACATCCGCTTCTGCTCCTGCCAGATCAGCGGAGCCACTCTCCTCCAGAGTCGCATCGACAGCGAACCAGACTTCAAGAACTTCCTCAAGGTAAGAGAGTGAGCAAGGAAAGGAAGTAAAGGTCTAGGTAATAAACAGAGAGGGACAGAACAATAGTGGAGGTGGAGTAGTGGAAGTGTCTGTAGGTCTTTTGTCTTATTTAAAGGCCTTTGTGAGAAAATCTTACAATGCACAAAGCACATTTAGATGTAAATCAGTGTCTGGGCTACATTGTGCTTAAACCATTTACTCTTTAATATCTGCTTTACTTGTTCCAGTTTTACTTTGTGCCTTACATCAGTTCTTTTGTGTTGTCATTTTCCTCATCTTCCCTTCTCCACCTCCGTTAAAGTTGGCCTAAAATCATTCTCATGTTGTATTTAACAAACCAGATATTCTGCAGTCATACATGTGTTGGTAGAAACATAATATAATACTAAAAAACTTTTCAAAACCAAGTTACTAAGTGCATATTTTATTTTTTAACCTCATTCCTGAAGTGTCTTTTATTCCCATCAGAAAATTGCCACAGACTACAGATGTAAAGGCATGCCGCTGTCCAGCTTCTTGCTGAAACCCATGCAGAGGATCACACGCTACCCGCTGCACATCAAAAACGTAGGCCACGTGTTCATGAGCGTGTTGGTGTTTGAACTCTTCATTAAGTAGTTCAAATACTGACTCTACTGTGCGTAATTAGGAATAAAATAATGTTTTGCCTTTGTGGGTGCAATTAACTTGTGTGTGTATTTGCTTGTGTGTGTTTAGATCCTGAAGTGCACCGCAGAGGGCCATGTTGACCAAGGTCCTCTGAAAGAGGCTCTGGAGAGGGCGGAAGAACTTTGTCAACAGGTTTGTTTCTTCACTGATTCCCTCATCTAAGCTCGTCTTTCTATTTAAATGATGTTTCTCTACTGAGTAATTCTGTTAAACAGGTAAATGAGGGCGTGAGAGAAAACGAGAACGCTGAAAGACTGGAATGGATTCAGACCCACGTACAGTGTGATGGCGCTGTAGAGGTATGAAGCTTAGTAATGAACTCGCAGCTTGTTATGAATAAAGTTCATTCTTTATAGATCCAATGAATTCAGGAAGTGTTTGCTTGATTACCTTATAAAAGAGTCTGCATTACTCAGATAAACGACAATTTTCCATACCATCTTTCTAAATGTTGTTCCTCTCAACAGAACATGGCCTTTAACTCTCTTACCAACTGTTTGGGCCCCAGGAAACTGCTCCACAGCGGCAAGGTGAGTACAAAGTGTCTGAAACTGCGAGTCAGTGAACTCGTGGGTCAAAAAAATAAGAAATTGAATCTATCTGAATGAATACTTTAAAAATCTAAAAAGTTAAAGAGATCAGACAGATTGGGGAGTACAGAGAGATGAAATGTGAAACATTACTGGGTCAGAACCCGGGATGTAGTCGCATGCTATAAGCCTCGGAGTGAAACACAGTAGAGATCAGTGAACTGGTTACATTTGAGCAGAAACCCAACAGAAGGATCTCAGGAGGTTATATAAACTTAGACGTTTGCTTTTGGGCTTGAGGATTAAATGTCTTCTGATGCTGAACAGTCGACTGCAGTACCACCATCACCACTGAGCAGCTTAAATGTTTTCACAGAAGAGAAAAAGTCAAATAAATATGTTTTTGTAATAAAAGTGATAAATATGTTATAACAAATAACACGATGCAGCAATATATCACTTGTTTCTTTTCAGATGTACAAGGTAAAGAGCAACAAAGAACTCTGGGCTTTCCTCTTCAACGACTTTCTGCTTCTGACTCATGCGGCTAAACAGTTCACTTCGTCTGGGCCTGATAAACTGTTCAGCAAGAGCAATACACAGCTCAAGATGTACAAGCCGGTAAGACACAAACATACACCCTTGTTCAAAGCAGCATTGCACTGCATTTTTTTTTTTTAAATACATATAAAATGTATTTGTGTATATATTTAATGTTGTGTTTGACAGTGTTTAACATTTTGCTTCCTTTAGCCTGTGCTGCTAAATGAAGTTCTGGTGAAGCTGCCGGATCCTTCCAGCGACGAGCCCATCTTCCACATCTCGCATATCGATAGAGTTTATATACTGAAGACTGACAACATCAATGAACGGTAGCTGCGAACACGCATACACATGGACAGACGGACGGATCTGGTGTGTTTGGTGGCTTTTACGATTACTGTGTGTGTTTTGTGTTTTTTCAGGACAGCGTGGGTTCAGAAGATCAAGGCTGCGTCTGAAGAATTTATTGACACAGAAAAGAAGAAAAGGGAAAAGGCCTATCAAGGTTTGTCTCACATTCACATGGCCGCACTGATGGCAGCCAATGAGATGATCTCTGGATTAATTGGTGTGTGTGTGTGTGTGTGTGTGTGTGTGTGTGTGTGCGTGTGTGCGCGCAGCACGATCTGTGAAGGTTAGTGGAATCGGCAGACTCCTTGTAACCATCTTGGAGGCCACCGAACTCAAGCCTGGCAAACCGAACGGTGAGCATGGGTACACTCATGTTACAGGATGTCCACAGACTTCAGAAACACAAACTCCTGCATTGATACCTAATGAAGCCGAGATAAAGCCACATTTATTTGTAGTACTTCATCATTCCACTCCTTATCAGTCTCTTTCAGTCAGCCTTTTTGTGTCCTCTGTGCTACTGTTGTATTTTTTTCCCATATTGCAGAATGCTATCCCATGTTTTGTCTCTTTTCTGGTACTCTTCTATCATCTTCTGTTCCTCCACTCTTTTACATTTTCTTCATCTTTTCTTGTAGAATCGGTCAGCCGATTGTGTTTGATATATGCCTATCCTAGATAAATCAGTCTGATATGCAACAATATGATATTTTTGCAGAACATAGTATAATGCAGAAAACTTTGCTTGGGTTATTTAGAAATGTTGTCATCGTGTAGTTTGTCCAGCAGAGCGCGCTACACACTGAAATACACACTGTAACGGTAATAAACAATGACCCCATCATTTTCAATTACTGTGTAACTAACATAATATCGACCCCCGTCCCTGACAGCAGCCATGTCATCTGTCATCTGTTATGCTATGTTAGCAAGCTACAGTTTGTAAATTCAGTTCAATTCAATTTTATTTATATAGCGCCAAATCACAACAACAGTTATCTCACAGCGCTTTTCATAAAAGAGCAGGTCTAGACCGTACTCTATGATGCTATTTACAGAAGCCCAACAGTTCCCACCAAGAGCAAGCACTAGGCGACAGAGGCAAGGAAAAACTTCCTTTTAAGAGGCAGAAACCTCGAGCAGAACCATGGCTCAGGGTGGGCGGCCATCTGCCTCGACCGGTTGGGGAGGGAGGGAGTGAGGGGGGGAGAGAGAGAGAGAGAGAGAGAGGCAGCCTACACAATATACACACAGAGGTACAGACAGTAAAGGTGATGTTGCTATAGACTAAATGAAAAATGGTACAGATATTTATAGTAGTGTTAATGGTAACAGTCGTAATGTTAATGATTATAATAACAATAATAACAGTAGGACTAGTAACAATAGTTGTTGTAGCAGAGGGTGTCGAGCAGGAACACGGGGGCAGCAGGTGACCCACAGCCACAGATCCAGACTCCACAGCTCCAGAGCCAGAAACACCTGCAGAAAGTGATAGGAGGAGAGAGGAGAGAGACGAGAAAGCACAAGACTACCAGAAAGGGGAGAAGTTGTGTTAGTAATATGCAATAATGGGATGAGGTTGCATACAGAGGTAACCCAAACTGGAACCTGGTTCCACAGGAGAGGAGCTTGATAGCTGAATGCTCTGGCTCCCATTCTAATTTTGGAGACTCTAGGAACCACAAGTAACCCTGCATTCTGGGAGTGCAGTGCTCTGGTGGGATAGTAAGGTACTATGAGCTCTTTAAGATAAGATGGTGCCTGACCATTAAGAGCTTTGTAGGTAAGAAGAATGATTTTAAATTCTATTCTGGATTTTACTGGAAGCCAATGCAAAGAAGCTAAAACAGGAGAAATGTGATCTCTTTTCCTGGTTCCTGTCAGAACACGTGCTGCAGCATTCTGGATCAGCTGAAGAGTCTTAACAGACTTTTTCAAGCAGCCTGATAATAAGGAATTGCAGTAATCCAGCCTAGAAGTAACAAATGCATGGACTAGTTTTTCTGCATCATTTTTAGACAGGATGTTCCTGATTTTCGCAATATTACGTAGGTGAAAAAAGGCGGTCCTTGAAATTTGCTTAATGTGAGACTTAAACGACATGTCCTGATCAAAGATAACTCCAAGATTTCTCACAGTGGTGCTGGAGGCCAGGGCGATACCATCAAGGGAAACTATATCTTTAGATAATGTGTCACGGAGGTGCTTAGGCCCCAGAACAATAACTTCAGTTTTATCTGAGTTTAACATTAGAAAATTACAGGTCATCCAGGTTTTAACATCCTGAAGGCACATTTGAAGTTTAGTTAACTGATGAGTTTCATCTGGTTTGATCGATAGATATAGCTGAGTATCATCTGCATAACAATGAAAGCTTATGGAATGTTTCCTGATAATATTGCCTAAATGAAGCATATATAAAGTGAAGAGGATTGGTCCGAGGACAGATCCTTGAGGAACTCCATGACTAACTTTGGCATGCATGGAGGACTCATCGTTAACATGTACAAACTGAAATCGATCTGATAAATAGGACTTAAACCAGCTTAGAGCTGTTCCTTTAATGCCAATGAAATGTTCGTCTCTGCAATAGGATCTGATGGTCAATGGTATCAAATGCAGCACTAAGATCTAATAAAACCAGTACAGAGACAAGTCCTTTGTCTGATGCAATAAGGAGGTCGTTAGTAATTTTCACCAGTGCTGTCTCTGTGCTATGATGAGCTCTAAATCCTGACTGAAAATCCTCAAATAAACTATTGCTCTGTAGAAAGTCACACAGCTGTTTAGCAACTGCTTTCTCCAGAACCTTAGAGAGAAATGGAAGGTTAGATATAGGTCTATAGTTGGCTAAAACATCCGGATCAAGTTTGGGCTTTTTCAGAAGAGGTTTAATTACAGCTACTTTAAAGTACTGTGGTACATAGCCTGTTGATAAAGATAGATTGATCATATCTAGCATAGAAGTGCTGACTAAGGGTAAAACATCTTTAAGCAACCTAGTCGGGATGGGGTCTAAGGTTGATGATTTAGATGAAGAAATTATTGAAGTTAGTTGGTAAAGATTGAGGGAAGCAAAACAGTCTAAACATGTATCTGGTTCTACAGCTGTTTCTAAGGTTCCTGAGTTAAGAGATAAGTTGGTGCCAGTTGAGGGCAGGTCTTGGTGAATTTTGTCTCTAATAGCTAGAATTTTATCATTAAAGAAGCTCATGAAGTTGTAACTACTGAGAGCTATGGGAATACTTGGCTCAATAGAGCTGTGACTCTCTGTCAGCCTGGCTACAGTGCTGAAAAGAAACCTGGGGTTGTTCCTATTTTCCTCTATTAATGACGAGTAGTACGCTGCTCTGGCATTACGGAGGGCCTTCCTATAAGTTTTAAGACTATCTTGCCAAATTAAACGAGAATTTTCCAGTTTGGTCTAACGCCAATTCCTCTCAAGTTTCCACGATATTTGCTTTAATTTGCGGGTTTCAGAATTATACCATGGAGCTAACCGTCTTTGTTTTAGTATTTTCTTTTTTAGAGGGGCTACAGAGTCGAGTGTCATTTGCAGCGAGCCTGCAGCACTATCAACAAGATGATCGATTTGGGAGGGACTGAAATTAACATAGGAGTCCTCCATTACTTTGTGACTTGATAATGAATTTAGAGCTGATGGAATCACATCCTTAAATTTAGCTACAGCACTATCAGACAGACATCTTGTAAAGAAATTTTTGCCCAATGGCGTGTATTTCAGCAATACAAACTCAAAAGTTATCAAACAGTGGTCAGACAAAGAGGGATTCTGTGGGAACACCACTAAATGTTTAATTTCAATACCATACACCAAAACAAGGTCGAGGGTGTGGTTAAAACAGTGAGCCGATTTATGAACACTCTGAGAGAAGCCAATGGAATCTAAGAGAGAGATAAACGCAGTACTGAAGCTGTCATTCTCAACGTCCACATGAATATTAAAATCCCCTACAATAATAACTTGAATAAAGTTGACAAAAACTCTGCAAATTCAGATAAGAATTCTAAATACAGCCAGTAACATAGAGGACAGAACAGTAAGCATCAGCGCTTCTCTTCCAATTCAACATCCTCATACACTCTATGCTTATAGAGAGCTTATCACACTAATTAATGTTACACATTAAGAGTGAATTATTGTAAAGATGACATATTTTGATAAACAAAAATGATTGGAGTTCAGTCCATTGAAGTAATGGAATCAGAACAATGCTGTACTTTAGTACAGTTTAGAGGTACTTCCACTGCATTTATTATTTCACAGCTTTCAGATCAATAATTTATACCTAAAATATAACATCTCTACATTTAAATGCCCAGTTTAAATCAAATGGTTCTTAAAAATATTTAAGAAAGCAGATTTCTGACCTTTGCACCTTTGCATAGTCATATTGGTGAAAAGTCGGTGCACAATCCACATAGAAAGGTTTATTTTAATTTCAGGCCAAGAAATTACTATATCTGCTCAACTGCCATATTGGTAATCAATGTCTTTTCCCCCTCTAATATTAGTGTCAATTTTAAAGATCCCGTATCCGTCTGACTCTATTTTCTCGGCTGTTCTTTCTTCTCCCATCCCACTCACCCGTCCCTCTACTCACCTGTCTTCATGTCGCCCTGCAGGTAAAAGTAACCCCTACTGTGAAGTGACCATGGGAGCTCAGATCTTCACGTCCAGAACGCTCAATGATACTCTGAACCCCAAGTGGAACTTCAACTGTCAGTTTCACATCAAAGACCTTTACCAGGACGTCCTCTGCATCACCATCTTTGAAAGAGACCAGTTTTCACCTGATGGTCAGTTACCTGCAAATTTGCTTAAATTAATTTCTAAACATGGTACTCTAGTTCTTGACCTAATTTGTAAATTGTGAAAGAAAAAAACTGGTTGTGTGGTTGGATTTTATGATTAATACACCATAAAAATGTCCAAATATCACAACTTCCTACTCATCACCTTTGTGTCAGCTAACACGGGGAGGTGGGATCAGTCTCTGAAATCCCTTTATTCCAAATGTTTGCTAATTATTATTATTATTGTTCTCAGCTCTTTTTTTTCAACCAATCAAAATGTTCCTTTCAATTTCTTCTCATTGATCAGAGTTTCTGGGTCGGACAGAGGTTCCCGTGGCAACCATAAAGAAAGAGTTGGAAAACAAGGGACCAGTAACGCGTCGTCTTCTGCTGCACGAGGTTCCTACAGGAGAAGTGTGGGTCCGCCTCGACCTGCAGCTCTATGGCAACAAATAGCCGTTACGAGGAACTGAAGTAATAATGGAGTCTTCTACTGAGACATCCAGATAAGGATATCGTCCTCCTGCAGAGTAACCAACTAAGAAAAGCTGCTTTTTTTCTCAGCTAAACAAACTCAGACGGTTGCCCCCACAGTCCTAATATGGACTCCAAGAAGACACGCATATCAAACAAGACACAGCTGAACTGTTTTGCACACATCATGCCTTAATATTTTAATATTAACCAGCACTAATAATACCTCTGGTGTCACCTGACTCTTCCAGTAGGGGTTAGGGTCTGATTGACATCATCTCAACCCACCAATGGGAGTCAGATCTCCCCTTTTTTTCTGGTTCATGACTTCAGATAGAAAAGGTAGCATGACTGGTGCAGCTTTTTGCACCTGCACAATATGTACTGTACACTCTGAAGGAGCTACAGGGAAGGACCACAACCTGGCATCTTCAACAGTGAAGACACTGTATGTCATGAAGCTGAATCTGGGTCCTCTGTAATAATTTCTGACCTTCAGAGCTGGGTAGAACTGGACAAAGACTGTATAAAAGGCAGATAATCATGACATATTAATAGAGCAATAAAACTATGAATAAAAAGATTCTCATCTACTCTATTGTCTAGACTCCCACAGCTCAATACAACAGTTGGTTTTAAAGTATTCAAACTGAGACACACTTTGCTCTGGTCAACCGAGGCCATTGAAGTTGAGCTAGCAAATATTTTTCTTACAGTGACGTTAAACGCATCATTAACTGTAGGTGGCAGATGACTTACAGCAACATGGCGACAGTAGCTCTGGTCCGGAGTCAGTTTACTACTGTAGACAGAAGATCTCAGGATACTTTGTTCTGGGTTGAGTCTGTGTCACTGTAACAATGTTTGGGTGGGGGTGTGTGGGTGTGTGTGTGTGTGTGTGTGTGTGTGTGTGTGTGTCCTCGCATTAGAGTGGAGAAGCGTAAACATATCTAACATTTAGTTAAGATAAGGTAATATGCAAGTATAATGCTGCAACATTTGAAATCAACTAGTGACTTCCGGCCTTAATGCAAGTCACCTTTTTAGTCTTAAATCTAAAATCTGTCACTTCTTTGGGATGCTGTTGGTCTTGATTGGGGTCTCAGGATAGATTTATTAGCTTTTTTCTTTCGTGTGCAAAATCAGCCAAGGCCAAGTAGTTTGAGTGCAAAATTATGTAGGTGACACAGTAAAGAGAAAAGCTGCATTGATGAACATTTCCTTCTACACCTTTAACTCTCCATCAGCTGTTCCTGCCTTCCTCTTCAGTGTAGATGTCAATATTTTGAGGCAAAACATTTTGGCAGTTTGTCAGACAGTATTTGCTTGTATTGTTTGTTCTTTACATTTGCCAGACAGATTTGTAAGTGTCATTCCTCCAGTCCCGCCTCACTGACAGCAATATTGTGCATCTCTGTTGGCTCACAAAGTTTCCCTTTATAAACATCCGCCATGAAAACTTTATAAGCATATAGTGTGTAAAAACTTTTATTTATGTTGTTGCACTTTTTGGTGTTTTTAATCTTCTGTCCTTTGCATCCAGTTTCCAAGTCTGAGCAGATATTAACAAAAGAGTGTATTTATTGCGTAATTTATGCGTGACTATTCAAAGGTTTGGTGCGGCTTTGTTTGCTGTATCCGCTGGGTCTGTTATGTATTAAAGACGTGTTCATCGGACACATGTTGATAATGTTTTTGAAAGGCAATAATAACATCTGAGATGATTCTCTGCGGTTGAGTTTTACTGTAAGTAGACTAGATCACAAGTCATTTTGTTAGCCTGTTCTTTAAGTGTGTCTTATTCAATCCACAAAATTCAGTTTTAAAGTCCTTTATTACCTTTTGATGTTTGTTTTTTTTAATTTGTGGAATATGTGCAAATAGACTGGACTACTTTGTTCGTCTGTGTAGCGGGTGTAACAGTTTGTCTTTTGTTTTGTTTTGCTTTTTATTTCCCACAGCCTTCTGCATTGATAGCTGCTGTGCTAACTAAGTTTATAGCCTCTTTAACCCAGATTGTCTGTCTGAGCAGCGTGGAATCTGTAACCTGCTGTCTGTGCTCACTTTGGCCTCTATGTGCCACTCTGTGAATCAGGGTTTCTTAAGTAAAATTAAAGGCATTAAAAGTGGGCAAATTGTCAAATTATTGGCTGGCTAAAGACAACTGACTTTTAACACCGTAAACCTTCAGCGCACAACCTCCTGCGGCAGTACATATGGTGTGAACTTCAGCTTTAGACAAAATAATTATTTAATGAAGTCTGCAGTATGTTAACAAGTGAGGCTCAGACTAGTCTGTATTTTATGTTGCAGCTGAGACTGTAATTTCTGCCAATTATCTGAGTCTCTCTGCTTGAAACACACTCTTTAGTCGTTGTACGTCATTGCAACACCATCGCACTGTTACCAGTTACAACAGAAGACAGACCTTTGCAGTTATTTTCATGTATGATATTTTGTGTGGAGTGAATGCACAGTATTCATGATACTATCAGTTTTAAAAGTAGCCTACAATGAGGAGAAAGCACATTTCATTACATTACAGTGTCTTGTTTTGTCCGGTGCGTAGAACATTTGACAATAATCTTATTATTTAATAAAATATATTTAAATATTTCTTAAATGTATCATAAAGTCAGACTAAATTTCAAGGACTTATATTAAAACAAGAAACACGTTTTATGGATTTTATTCAAATTTTCTATTTGATTTTCGTTGGTTTGTAGCCACTGAGTCAGTGAAGTTCAGCGTGGAGTTGTCAGTCCGCACCAATAGACCCCATTAAGTCCTTCTTCACCCTCCGCTGGCTTTTGGTCCACTGGAGCAACAGTCATTATGTAACCACACTAAGTGGCTCTGCAAGGGGCTGACGGCAACGCACACAGCTGCAAAACTGAGTCGACAAAGTCAGCTGAGTGCCACAGTGGTAGTAATGCATTTAATGCAGTGGGACTGTGCTGATATAAATGGTGGTATGTCACGGTAATTAATTATTTTACACTCGATTAAAATCAAATGTGTCACAGATGTAGATGAAACACTCAACTCAAAAAATGACTTTAAAGTTTTTAATTCCACAGAACCTGAAATTATGCAGTCTTTCATTTTAGATACCAACTAATTCCACATGACAAAATATAAAAATAAGTTATACCATGCTGGAGTTAAAGGGTTACACAACTGATGGCAAGAATAAACTATGAAGTACATCTTTGAAAGTTACCATCTCACTGTAAATGCACTGCTAAGAGGATGCATGTGATATGGATACAAGACTGCACCACTCTTAGAAAAACTACCTGTGAAAAGAAAGAATGTGTCACTTTAGTCTGAGTTATCTGCATTTGTCAATGTAAAGGTCATGCATGTCTGTGCTCTATGTGCAGCTAGAGACTAAATGAATCTTGTTACAAATATCCCTCAAAGAAATGTATCAAAATAAAATACAAAACCCTGGTGCCAGAAAATGTCGATATATCAAGATAAAATTAGTATTTTGTATTATTGACATGCTGTTGACACCCAACCACTACAATTTGAGCCTATTTAGTTGCCTTTAAGAACAACACATTTTTCAAATATTTCTGGTGTTACCCACCTCCTGGCAGATGGAATATTATTCCTGCAAATGAGAACAGTCTCTTCAGTTCTATCTGAGCGCTATCTGAGCTGAAGAGGGGAAGGTTGTGTTAAATCGAGCAAAAAGGAGATTGATCAGTGGGTAACTGAATGGGTTGTGTTTTTTACCGTCTATTGCGTGCAGCTGGCAGACAGTGTCAGTGTGCCCTCTCTGTCGAAAGACAATGTATCGGTTTGGCGCACAAGAAACAACGCTATGATGAGCGTTAACCTTCAAACGTTTACATAGTAAAACAGACTTCATTTTGAATTAAATACGGAAACATGTTTAACATGCAAAAGCTCTCATAACCAAATATTGTGAAATAATTGCAATCCACAAAAAGGAGAAAAAAATAATGCTATTTCAGATGTTAGATAGAGAAGAACCTGCTGTATCCAACCTGATGTCATAATTTGATCATCATCTACTGCCACCATGTTGCCAGTATTATTATTATTATAAAAATGATTGCAGATTTTAATTCTTTTACACCTAATTTGTCAACAGTTAGGTCAAAAGGTCAGCAATAGGCAAAAATAAATCAAGACTCATCGTCCTATAGGATTTTGGTACAGTAAGTGTAGAGGTAGACAGAAGTAGAAAAAGATAAGGTGGGGGGTGGGGCAGGTGGAGAGAGCTAGTGAGTGAGATAAAGTATTAAAGAAAAGTGCAGTAAAGCAGAAGAGGAGAGTAGTTTAGAGGCAGAAGGAGAATAAACACATACGGAGACAGAGTATAGAGAGTGAGAGTGACATGTGCATGGAGGATGAGTCTGAGAGGCCCTCAGTTCCACTTGACTCAGTCATGGGAATGATTTGATTATCACCACATGAACAGCTGTCTTATGTAACACACACACAGACACACAAAGAGAACAAAAAAATAATGAGGGGTCTGTGTTCTAGCCAAAAAAACTATACTGGGCAAAGGTGGCCTGTAGCAACAGAGAGACAGAGAGTAAAAGAGAGTCCATATCAAAGAAAACTCACATAAAATAAAGAAAATTATAATGGTCCGTGTTGTCCTCATCTTGCAGTTGGAACAACTGATAATCACAATATAAAAAATACAATAGTTGTCATTAGCACTGAGGTATAATTTGAGTGGCGGAGAGAGAAGCATTCAGATCCATTACTTAAAGGTGCACTGTGGAGTTTTCTTTTCAACAAGCATGCTTACATTAATTGTGTCTCACAAAAACGAATTGTCTTAAAAACATTTTAAATCCTGCATTGTTTACATCCTGGCATACAGTCATCTTCTTCACTGCCATTTTTGGCACATTGCTACATGATTTCCACCACCGCTAGTGGATAAACAGAATAGCATGAAACCTGCAGCAGAATTGCGTAGCTGCACAAGATGCAAACAAAATGGAGACCCACTTATAAAACCATTGCTCGATCGTGCTACTAGTGGTCAGAAACTCCACAGGGTACCTTTAAGTTAGTAAAAGTAGCAATGCTGCATTTTGAAAATTTTAGGTAAAAGTCCACCATTCAAAATGCTATTTGAGTAAATGTTTTTTATACACTCTATGGTAAAAGTATAGAAGTACAGAATGTACATGAAGTGTTTAAAGTAGTCATTATGCAGCTGATTGGCCTACATAATTATATATTACATTATTAGATTTTGTATCACTGATGCATTACTGTGTGATGTTTACATTTACATTTACTCATTTGGCAGACGCTTTTATTCAAAGTGACTTACATGTGAGGAACAACATACAAGCATCAACAAAGCATCAATACAGCGCGAGATCTACAACTGACAATATATTATATACAATAGATACAATACATACTAGTAAGGGCAGCAGTAAATACTAGTAAGCACTAATAGCACGTATGGCATCAATGGGGTAAAAATATAGGGAAAGAACCCTAACCCTAGTTAGCAAAAAAGTGCAATCTATATAAGATTTGAAATGTTTCAGCAGGGGGAGCTAATTTTAATGACTTATTAACATATTTTATAAGCTCATCATAGGTTTTGTACGGTATGTAAAAACAATGTGGACACTAACTATATAAACTGCAGATTCAGGTGAAGTTCATCACTGCGAGTCACCCTATCACCCTATCATCACTATTATCACTGTTTTTACATTGTCATTTGAAAAATATCGATTAAAGCAGCTCAAGTCAGAAAGTATAGAGGGATTGTGTTGGTTGATTGGATGTGTTAACAATAATAAAAGTGTAAAATAAAGCCAGCATTATTATTTAAGTTCTGTACTTGAGTAAATACATTCACATACATTTTACCACTGAATGTGGGTGGGTTGAACAAAGAATATACATGAAGCTGAGAACTCCAGTTAGCATGTTTACATTTATCAGTAAATAAATAAAAATTAAGCTCATGACACTGTTTTATTTTGCCGTTGGAATTGAACTGATGCAAGCCCGCCCACACTTTCACCCCTCGGAAATGAATAATGAAATGAAAAACCATTGGACCAAAGACTGTGCTGTTATGCAGGTCCAGCGTTGCCACCCAGCATCTGAAACTCACAATTCTGTCCCTTGCTGTTTCGGAAATGACTGACAACATTGGAAACACAGTGGAACACAGTGCAGAGTTTTAATATTTCATCACCCTGAGCAGGAGGTGCAGCAATGGATGCATTATGGATGAAAAGTGGTGCATGTGTTGTGTATTCTGTATGTAGAACAAGGCTTAGATCCGTGTTTATCTTTATCAGTAAAGATGATGATGAGTTGATAATTGTGGGATGATGTCAATTATTGAGGATATTTTGACTTTTAATTGTTTGTTATAATCTTCTCATCTGTGCTGGCCAGTCTGTCGGTCTACCACTTTGGTCAAGACTGAAATATCCCAACAACAATTGAATGGACTGCCATGTAATTTCTTACAGACATTCATGGTTCCCAGACAATGAATCCTAATGACTTTGGTGACCCCTTACTTTTCCTCCAGCGCCATTATCATGTCAAAATTTCACTTTGTTTAGTATTCTGCTTCATGACCAAATACCTGAAATACTAAATACATTACCACCACTCAGCTGTGCTTTGTATTTAGTGCTAAATAGTAAATGTTAGCCTGCAAAACTAGGATGGTAAACATCATGTCTGCTAGACATCAGCATGTTAGCATTGTCATTGTGAGGATGCTACGTTAGCATTTATCTTAAAGCATCACAAAGCTACAGCCTCGTAGAGCTGCTGGTGTGGCTATAGCGTCTAATTTAGGCTGAGACTAAAATCTCCGTCAAGCTCCACCTCAACCAAAGTCAGGTGTATATTTCCAAAGCACTCAGTTAAAAGTTTATAAGTTACAACTGCAGTCGAACACAGTCCAATACAAAAAATACATGTTCAGTTCAGATGTCTGTTTTCTACCTTTGTCTTCTGCCCAGGGCGTAATAAAGACCTTGACAACCATGAAGGAATTACTGTAATTTCATGTAATGTTCTCTCTCCAGTAATTATGCAATCTGTTGAGAGAAGTGGTGAGAAAATGTGCTGAGATT